TGCGTACTGAAATACTAAGTATTGGTTAATTATTTAAGATTACCATATTTCGTTTTGTGGGAAATTTTAATTTTCCCCATCTGTAAAGATATTTAATAAAAGTTGATTTAAAATTGATCGTATTTTTCACTACTTAAATACATAAGTTTACATTATATAACATATACCTACTATGTATCTTCTTTGGCACAAGTTTATAATATTCCATTTCGGTTCGGTATCAACCCTAGCGTTACACGCACCGGCCTAATGTCACCGGCGCTTCAACCCTCACTTACAGAGAGTGTCACCGCTGTGGTATAGGTGCAGTTAAAATAATTAATATTTTTAATACGTTGATTTTTAAAATACGTCCGTCAGATTTTTTTTTATATATACTCCAAATTCATAGTCTGGGGTAGGGAGTGTAATTTAATGTCTTGATGTTGGCAACGTAGCTTAGCTCCCTTTCATGCATTTACTTCACAAACTAGTAAGAAGTTTACTTTTACTAAGGAAGCCCTGCCTATTAAACCTAGGGATTATACACTCTTTGTCAACAATTAAGAAAGGTTTTGTTATCTTTTAGCACTTAATATTGCATTTTTAATGATGGTGCAATCATATAAAAGCAAGGTGCAGTTTTTTCATATTACAACAAGTACCCATTTCTAATTATTTGAAGTTATATCGATGTTATAAATTGAGCAATATTTACCTATTTTTTTATTTATAAATTACATGGGTGCAATTTAAATAGTTGATATTTTTGAAATGTGCTATTTAAAATACATCTGTCAGTATTTTTTTATTTTATATACACTCCAAATTCGTAGGCTGGGTTAGGGCGGGTGTATTCGACACTTAACAGATTTGGTTTTATTAATTTTTAGTGGTAATTATTCTGGTTGTTCCTTTCGTATATTATTGTCTTTTAGGCATGGCTCTGAGCCTTACTGCTCGCCTCTGCTTCACGGCACTCTCGCAGATTACTTGCCTTCTTCTCGACTCATCGCAGACTACAAGGCAATCCTTGGCACTTGCTCCGGCTTATCGTTCTCACCGGCATCACTTGCAAGTGCGTAGTATGACATGCATTACACACCGGCATATCGTTCGCACCGGCATCACTTGCCCTTACGCACACAGAATGCATACCACACCGGCATTAAGGACACACCGCCAATCGGACTGCACTATCGACCTCCGGTCTGAGCAGGGGAGTGATGTGGCGGCGCTGTCGTCGCGCCATAAGCGAAACACATCGAAGCCTAAGTCGCGCTAACAAGGTTCTGAAGTTAAATCAGTATATATAGAATAGCTCCGAACTACCACTTGGAGCGTTGGCCGCTCCCCGGGCAGCACACCTTGCCCGGCGGGAGATCTTCACTTTTCCTTCCACCGGCTACAAGATTATTGTGATATTCATATTTCAATTATTAATTTCACAGAATTCCCATTAGATGCGATAAAACTAATATTATTTTGTAATCTATAAATTATAAGGAATAAATCGATATACATTTCATTAAGATTCTCTGAAATTCGTGGTGGGCCCATTCTCCATACAAAAAGAATTTGTCTCCTATGAGTAAATTGTTAACAAATTTAGGGAAACAATCGATGTATTTTTCGACCCCTTATAAGCTCTGTCGCACAGTAAGAGACCATCTCTTGTAATATTCTATAAAACATTTTCTTTTCTTTCCGCTTCTATATATTTTTAGTACCGTATATTGTTATCAATTGTTAATTTTTTTATCCTAGAAATAAAATTACATAGTGCCGAGATAGTTATTTGCATGTGGTATCCGCTTGTTATTTTGTACATTTTAGTTCTTATCGGTTCATTGTATTTAAATGGCATGTAAGCTTAGATTAATGATAAGTCATCGCGCGCTCTGACTAGATACCGCGCTGAACCGTTACCTGAAAGTAACATCTCCGTGAATGCGGCATCTTAATATTGTAGTGTGTATAAGACATTTTGCAAGATGCTAGTGTGCGTGAAAAATTGTATATGCCAGCAGCTTAACTATTACCCGATTAACGGGAAAATTTATTTTATGCTATGGCTTGGCAGTTAAGTTCATAGTTATGAATGTATTCCAGAAATACTTAAAAATGAATAGTTTATAAATAACGAATGTATCAATATATTTGTGTATATTATGTATAGGTTTTTCTTCTGAATAAATGACTTATAAATGATAAGGCCTCCTTTTTATCAGTTTAATTTTTTTATTTACATGTCTAACTAATATTCACAAATTCTTTAAAAAAATAGTTACATATATGATGTAATCAAAATATTGCTTTCTATTTCTATTCTACGCGTCAATATCAACAACTTTTACTATAGATTTATCTTCGAAATCGCAAGAAAAATCAGGTCTGCCATACATTTTGAGCAAGTTTGAACGAAATTTTGTATGGAATAACTGATATTTTTTATAGGATCAGGGTAACAAACGAGCAGTTCAAAATCAAAATCGGTTTCGGTTAAAAATCAAAATGCAGATGCATTGCAACCCCTGAGGACTAAGATGGAATAACTTATTTCCAGTAAAAAGGGTATCCGGTTCTCTACACTCACCATAGGAAACACAGCAGCGTTAATCTGCTATTTTACGCTGGTATTCTGTGAGAGCGTGGTCCTTGCTCGGTCGAGCTGACCCATTCGTGCTGCAACTTTACCAGAAATATAGCTGCACATATATATATATATATATATTCTGTTCGATAATTTTTTGCCATCTTGTAGGTAGAAATCTTGGGATTTTGATCAAAAAACTGCGACAAGTAGTTTTATTTGATATATTCACTACCAGAGATTTGAAGGGACATGGATTTAGTCATCCCATTTATAATGGAAAAAATATTACAAAGTTAAATATTAAAACCTCCAGAAAGCTTTCTTTTAAAGAACACAAGCAACAAAAGAAAATAATGATTAAAACTTTTAAACCAGTTTTAAGTACTCAAGCAAATACTGGAGTTTTAGGAATGTTAGTGTGTATTGAAAGTCTCAAACAGATAACTAATCTTGTGATCCGGCGTTATCATGATGAAAGGCCACTTCTTTTCTGATTATCAATGCCAGCCGTTTTTTTTTATATCTTGCTTGTCTCATTATTTATTGGTAGTAGAGATCCGAATTGATGGTTTTACCCGGTGGTAAAAGCTCATGATAAACTTTCAATCCCATCATTTACACAATATCATTTTATTGAGTGTTAATCCAGGTTTCGCTTTAGTCTGTAAACAAAACACACATCAATACGGAAAAAAATCACTTTCTTGTTTGGTCTTCATACAAGAAACGTAATTTTTTGGGTCCTTTAATATTTTATTTTATGTTGTTATAGCAGCAATATAAATACAGATTCTGTGAAAATTCCAAGTATCTACAAATTACGGTTCATAAGATACAGCCTGCTGACAGACAGACTTGGGTCCCGTTGTTACTCTTTGGGTACGGAACCCTAATAACAAAAGGTAATTATGTCATTTGAGCAATACTACAGAAATAAACATTAAATAATATAGATTTAGGTTATATTATATTAAGTTAAATATATTATATTATTAAATATAGTAACAATAAATTCACATATAAAAATCTCAGCCACGGGAAACTTTATTTTTGTATACGCGGCAACACTGAATAGCGTCACTCATATTTTGTGACTTATTTATGGCTCGTGTTATTTTATGTTAAAATTTCGAAATTGTATTTTTTTTATTGAAAAAAATGGGCTCGGATTGTATCCACTCTGCCGTCTATTACAAAAGTATGTAATTTTTTTTTTATAGAATAAGGTGACAAACGAGCACACAGTCCACCTGATGGTAAGTGGTTGCTGTGGCCCATAGACATCTACATTTATCCTCGTTTGCGAATCAAAATGCAGATGCGTTGTCACCTAAGCTGCTGCTGCTATTTTACGCTGGTATTCTGTGAGAGCGTGATCCTTCCCCGGTCGAGCCGACCCATTCGTGCTACAACTATGCTACTAATATAGCTGCAGCGTGATTCTACTATATGATTATCTGCATAGTGTAATATTATTTGGATTAGAAACAATAGAATGACGTTAAACAAACTTGAAGAAAGGTGATTAAACTACGCGAGGAATTCCTTAATCGGCGGCGAGTTGACGGAATAGTATAATACCACAAACTAATAAGAAGTGCTAAAACGCTGCGTATTTCTAAAGTGCGTGTGGAATAGTGTTTAAAAAATTATTGGATTGGTTGCGTTCAATAAAAAATACAAAGAAAAAGTTTAGAGCTCGTTCAATTTTGAAATTATTGATTTGTCGTATCGATAAAATGAACTTAATCAATTATAATTTTTAGAAAGATTGTAAGATTTGAAAAGATCGTATATTTTGCGTACGATTTCGAATACATGATCGTACATCGTACTACGACCAAAAAATCGTATGAATACAATTTAAATCGTACGGGTTGGCAACACTGGCTCGGGTACGCCGATATACGCCGTAGTATTTGTTGCCGCATTTTACATGAGCGCCGGCGGTATCTAGTCAGAGCGCGCGATGACTTATCATTAATCTAAGCATGTAAGGAATAATACAAATGTTGGTCGATCAATAATAAAAAACAAACAACAGTTCTATCTGTAAAGATATTTCGTCTGAAAAAATTCGCTTAAGGACGTAACCTCTTTTAACTTTATATATATTTACTTATATTTTCTTTTCGCTTTAAAAATTTATGTATTCGTGTATAATATAGAATCTATTGATTGATGGATTGTTTCATTCATCTTTCCACATTTACTTATCTAAACGTAAGCTTATTTACCTAAACGTGTTTAACAATTAATTCAAATGAGATACGCATCTGAGATGGTCGTCCAAGCAACTTTCTACTGACAGAGGGCGACTTAGTGAGTTTATGTGAGCTATGTTATTCGCATCACTCACAATTAAGAGAAAAGCCTAGTGAAACTAAACGCTTTTCTCTTTCTGTCGAAAATGATACAAGTTTTTAGAAAAAAATCTTTATTACAATTCAAACGTATTCTTAAAGTTAATACAAACAATATAATATTAGCAGATACTCGACTCGCGACTGGAACTTCGCTAACAAATAATTAAAGATTTATTTACTACATCACAAAAGAGAATTTACAACGGTGGCAAAACGTCTCTCATCGCTAAACAAGCACATTCACAATCACAACCAACGCACACACGCGCATTTACGCACATTTTAGCGAGGTCCCAGTCCGTTAGTCCGTTGGCCTTGAAACTATACAAAAGCCTCATTACGAATTTGGAATAAGTAAAACAATTGCACTTTTATAAAGATTGTTTATATGTATATATTAAAAAAAGGTTTCGTTCTTCATGACGATCCGTTTTCATACTTAAATAGGTGCATGGAAAAACTGTACGTACGGCGATTTAATAAACTCTTTTGCACTTTATGTGATGTAAAACGGCTCGTAAAAGAAAACGAAGCGGTTTTTATTTATAGAAACCCGACAATAATGGTTTTTACTGCTTTCGTGTAGTTTCAACCGTTAATTAACAGATTTGCACACCACATCTAAAAATCACCCTGACCAAATAGGCACAACTGGGGCAACCGAGATTTTTTCAGGAATCGTTTATTATTTTCCAAACACAAAGAAAATAAATCTAGTTATCTATTTAACAAAACCTACTAGCAGTATACTAGCGCTATTGTATATTTTAAAACAAACTTTGCGCGTAGTTTCAGACTATGGAGTGTAGAGTAGAAGGAGAACCATCTTATAAGGTGCGAAAGTCCCAATATATACTGAAAATAGAGGTTCCAAAACCTACCACAATAGCGCTGGCATCTGAAAAACTACGATATGAATATAGCTGTTATAGACGGAGTGAAGTGAGCTGAATTAAAATATTTAAAAAATTTAATATATTTAATGACTAGAGTAAATAGTAAAATGCCAGTATACAAAACCTCAACTATTTACGTAGTACAAAACCAATCGGATTGGTCGGTCCTTGTTTATTTCTCTGAATTTTGGCGCTTTTTTTTTAATTTATTCTATGCTACTGCAGCGCCACCCTTATTGGACGCGTTTTTAGGGACACTTTTCATATACAGAGATGGTCCTCCTTCTACTCTACACTCCATATTTCAGACTCAAACGAGCAGTGTTTTTTTTATTAAGATTTTAGCCTGGATGCTTGTCCTTTTAGCCATTCAAACGAGTAGTCGGCACTGTAATTACAAATTATACAAGCACATTGAATAAATTACGCTTAATCGAAATCAATTCAAGATATAATACTTGGGACCTTTCTATAAAAGAACTCATTCAATTTTTAAACGTATTCGTTGACAATGTGGTGATTATATATATATAGTGACACAGTCTCGAGTATCAACTCAAATTTACAACATCAAATTTTGAGTAGTTTAATATGGTCACAAATTATTTTACATTGAACTTAAGAGTTCAAACTTGAGGTTTTCTAAGAATTCCAATCTCAAAGCTCATATGAATCGGCATTAATTTATTACATTGTAACTGCCACAGGAAAATTAATACAAAATAAAATGATTATATAAAATAAACAATGGTTTGGACGTTGAGAGTAAACAATTTAAATAGAATATTATGTAATTTTATTTCCCTTCGACGAGCTGTTAATTTAAATACCATAATTTCGAAATTTTTATAATAATTCCATTATGTAAAATACAAAAAAAAATAGAAAATATTATTGCTACGATAATTATTATTCAGATTTTAAGAAAATATTATTAACAACGGTGGCCGAATGTTGTGCGGCATTTGTCACTTTATTTTTTTTTCACGAAATGGCGCCAAATTTTACATTAGTTAGTTTGTTTTTCCTTTTTCATTAAGTGGCACCAAATTTATCAATAGTCTGTTACATGGCTGAATTAAATTCAGACTCGCTGCAAGTGCAACGGCGCGCGCAGAGAGTCGACGCACAGTTCAGACGCCTGATCCGCTAGGTCGGTGGTCACCTGTGGGGGTGTAATTGCGTTAGTTGTTCACGAGTAGTAAGTTGTTAAGACATGAACTAAATTATGAGTAAATTTACATACTTCCAGCATTCCCACGTATACTAGCATTAAAATTTTATTCAAGTTGTTTAGTTCGTCTCATTCGCCATTACAACGTACCAAAGTCCACTGCGGAACATAGGCCTCCCCAAGAATGACTCGTAAGGGAGTTTGCCATAGTCCCGCTGGCAAGCGAGGTTTCTTTTCTTGTCATTAAAGAGACGCTGCTGCCCAATAATTACTTTCCCCATTCGCGACTTACGACAACCAAGGGATGATATGGGTTAGTGGATATTCTGATACCGCCACTACAGGTTATCTTTTAGTTCGCCTAGGATAGACGAACGTGACGATGACGTAACAGTTAAGTGACAAAATTGCTATGTCAGCGCAGTCAGTCAGCGCCTTGCCAAGAGGTGTGAGCGCCGTGCCTCGGCAGAACTGAGGGTGCAAAGGCTTGTTTGTGCTTACGGCCGCACCTTGAAACGGTGCCGGGCCTGCGGCGGCCCGCCCGCCAGCGCCAGCTGCACTAGTGTGTAGTGTGGCTGTACTGCTGTACTGCTGTACTGCTGCACAATATACCTTGTGGTGTGCTCGTGCGGTGCAGTCGGGCGGCAGCTGCAGGCTTCGCAACAGCGCCGCCAGGTGTCGCGGCGGCGGCCCGCCCGCCAGCGCCAGCTGCACTAGTGTGTAGTGTGGCTGTACTGCTGTACTGCTGTACTGCTGCACAATATACCTTGTGGTGTGCTCGTGCGGTGCAGTCGGGCGGCAGCTGCAGGCTTCGCAACAGCGCCGCCAGGTGTCGCGGCGGCGGCCCGCCCGCCAGCGCCAGCTGCACTAGTGTGTAGTGTGGCTGTACTGCTGTACTGCTGTACTGCTGCACAATATACCTTGTGGTGTGCTCGTGCGGTGCAGTCGGGCGGCAGCTGCAGGCTTCGCAACAGCGCCGCCAGGTGTCGCGGCGGCGGCCCGCCCGCCAGCGCCAGCTGCACTAGTGTGTAGTGTGGCTGTACTGCTGTACTGCTGTACTGCTGCACAATATACCTTGTGGTGTGCTCGTGCGGTGCAGTCGGGCGGCAGCTGCAGGCTTCGCAACAGCGCCGCCAGGTGTCGCGGCGGCGGCCCGCCCGCCAGCGCCAGCTGCACTAGTGTGTAGTGTGGCTGTACTGCTGTACTGCTGTACTGCTGCACAATATACCTTGTGGTGTGCTCGTGCGGTGCAGTCGGGCGGCAGCTGCAGGCTTCGCAACAGCGCCGCCAGGTGTCGCGGCGGCGGCCCGCCCGCCAGCGCCAGCTGCACTAGTGTGTAGTGTGGCTGTACTGCTGTACTGCTGTACTGCTGCACAATATACCTTGTGGTGTGCTCGTGCGGTGCAGTCGGGCGGCAGCTGCAGGCTTCGCAACAGCGCCGCCAGGTGTCGCGGCGGCGGCCCGCCCGCCAGCGCCAGCTGCACTAGTGTGTAGTGTGGCTGTACTGCTGTACTGCTGCACAATATACCTTGTGGTGTGCTCGTGCGGTGCAGTCGGGCGGCAGCTGCAGGCTTCGCAACAGCGCCGCCAGGTGTCGCGGCGGCGGCCCGCCCGCCAGCGCCAGCTGCACTAGTGTGTAGTGTGGCTGTACTGCTGTACTGCTGTACTGCTGCACAATATACCTTGTGGTGTGCTCGTGCGGTGCAGTCGGGCGGCAGCTGCAGGCTTCGCAACAGCGCCGCCAGGTGTCGCGGCGGCGGCCCGCCCGCCAGCGCCAGCTGCACTAGTGTGTAGTGTGGCTGTACTGCTGTACTGCTGTACTGCTGCACAATATACCTTGTGGTGTGCTCGTGCGGTGCAGTCGGGCGGCAGCTGCAGGCTTCGCAACAGCGCCGCCAGGTGTCGCGGCGGCGGCCCGCCCGCCAGCGCCAGCTGCACTAGTGTGTAGTGTGGCTGTACTGCTGTACTGCTGTACTGCTGCACAATATACCTTGTGGTGTGCTCGTGCGGTGCAGTCGGGCGGCAGCTGCAGGCTTCGCAACAGCGCCGCCAGGTGTCGCGGCGGCGGCCCGCCCGCCAGCGCCAGCTGCACTAGTGTGTAGTGTGGCTGTACTGCTGTACTGCTGTACTGCTGCACAATATACCTTGTGGTGTGCTCGTGCGGTGCAGTCGGGCGGCAGCTGCAGGCTTCGCAACAGCGCCGCCAGGTGTCGCGGCGGCGGCCCGCCCGCCAGCGCCAGCTGCACTAGTGTGTAGTGTGGCTGTACTGCTGTACTGCTGTACTGCTGCACAATATACCTTGTGGTGTGCTCGTGCGGTGCAGTCGGGCGGCAGCTGCAGGCTTCGCAACAGCGCCGCCAGGTGTCGCGGCGGCGGCCCGCCCGCCAGCGCCAGCTGCACTAGTGTGTAGTGTGGCTGTACTGCTGTACTGCTGTACTGCTGCACAATATACCTTGTGGTGTGCTCGTGCGGTGCAGTCGGGCGGCAGCTGCAGGCTTCGCAACAGCGCCGCCAGGTGTCGCGGCGGCGGCCCGCCCGCCAGCGCCAGCTGCACTAGTGTGTAGTGTGGCTGTACTGCTGTACTGCTGTACTGCTGCACAATATACCTTGTGGTGTGCTCGTGCGGTGCAGTCGGGCGGCAGCTGCAGGCTTCGCAACAGCGCCGCCAGGTGTCGCGGCGGCGGCCCGCCCGCCAGCGCCAGCTGCACTAGTGTGTAGTGTGGCTGTACTGCTGTACTGCTGCACAATATACCTTGTGGTGTGCTCGTGCGGTGCAGTCGGGCGGCAGCTGCAGGCTTCGCAACAGCGCCGCCAGGTGTCGCGGCGGCGGCCCGCCCGCCAGCGCCAGCTGCACTAGTGTGTAGTGTGGCTGTACTGCTGTACTGCTGTACTGCTGCACAATATACCTTGTGGTGTGCTCGTGCGGTGCAGTCGGGCGGCAGCTGCAGGCTTCGCAACAGCGCCGCCAGGTGTCGCGGCGGCGGCCCGCCCGCCAGCGCCAGCTGCACTAGTGTGTAGTGTGGCTGTACTGCTGTACTGCTGTACTGCTGCACAATATACCTTGTGGTGTGCTCGTGCGGTGCAGTCGGGCGGCAGCTGCAGGCTTCGCAACAGCGCCGCCAGGTGTCGCGGCGGCGGCCCGCCCGCCAGCGCCAGCTGCACTAGTGTGTAGTGTGGCTGTACTGCTGTACTGCTGTACTGCTGCACAATATACCTTGTGGTGTGCTCGTGCGGTGCAGTCGGGCGGCAGCTGCAGGCTTCGCAACAGCGCCGCCAGGTGTCGCGGCGGCGGCCCGCCCGCCAGCGCCAGCTGCACTAGTGTGTAGTGTGGCTGTACTGCTGTACTGCTGTACTGCTGCACAATATACCTTGTGGTGTGCTCGTGCGGTGCAGTCGGGCGGCAGCTGCAGGCTTCGCAACAGCGCCGCCAGGTGTCGCGGCGGCGGCCCGCCCGCCAGCGCCAGCTGCACTAGTGTGTAGTGTGGCTGTACTGCTGTACTGCTGTACTGCTGCACAATATACCTTGTGGTGTGCTCGTACGGTGCAGTCGGGCGGCAGCTGCAGGCTTCGCAACAGCGCCGCCAGGTGTCGCGGCGGCGGCCCGCCCGCCAGCGCCAGCTGCACTAGTGTGTAGTGTGGCTGTACTGCTGTACTGCTGTACTGCTGCACAATATACCTTGTGGTGTGCTCGTGCGGTGCAGTCGGGCGGCAGCTGCAGGCTTCGCAACAGCGCCGCCAGGTGTCGCGGCGGCGGCCCGCCCGCCAGCGCCAGCTGCACTAGTGTGTAGTGTGGCTGTACTGCTGTACTGCTGTACTGCTGCACAATATACCTTGTGGTGTGCTCGTGCGGTGCAGTCGGGCGGCAGCTGCAGGCTTCGCAACAGCGCCGCCAGGTGTCGCGGCGGCGGCCCGCCCGCCAGCGCCAGCTGCACTAGTGTGTAGTGTGGCTGTACTGCTGTACTGCTGCACAATATACCTTGTGGTGTGCTCGTGCGGTGCAGTCGGGCGGCAGCTGCAGGCTTCGCAACAGCGCCGCCAGGTGTCGCGGCGGCGGCCCGCCCGCCAGCGCCAGCTGCACTAGTGTGTAGTGTGGCTGTACTGCTGTACTGCTGTACTGCTGCACAATATACCTTGTGGTGTGCTCGTGCGGTGCAGTCGGGCGGCAGCTGCAGGCTTCGCAACAGCGCCGCCAGGTGTCGCGGCGGCGGCCCGCCCGCCAGCGCCAGCTGCACTAGTGTGTAGTGTGGCTGTACTGCTGTACTGCTGTACTGCTGCACAATATACCTTGTGGTGTGCTCGTACGGTGCAGTCGGGCGGCAGCTGCAGGCTTCGCAACAGCGCCGCCAGGTGTCGCGGCGGCGGCCCGCCCGCCAGCGCCAGCTGCACTAGTGTGTAGTGTGGCTGTACTGCTGTACTGCTGTACTGCTGCACAATATACCTTGTGGTGTGCTCGTGCGGTGCAGTCGGGCGGCAGCTGCAGGCTTCGCAACAGCGCCGCCAGGTGTCGCGGCGGCGGCCCGCCCGCCAGCGCCAGCTGCACTAGTGTGTAGTGTGGCTGTACTGCTGTACTGCTGCACAATATACCTTGTGGTGTGCTCGTGCGGTGCAGTCGGGCGGCAGCTGCAGGCTTCGCAACAGCGCCGCCAGGTGTCGCGGCGGCGGCCCGCCCGCCAGCGCCAGCTGCACTAGTGTGTAGTGTGGCTGTACTGCTGTACTGCTGTACTGCTGCACAATATACCTTGTGGTGTGCTCGTGCGGTGCAGTCGGGCGGCAGCTGCAGGCTTCGCAACAGCGCCGCCAGGTGTCGCGGCGGCGGCCCGCCCGCCAGCGCCAGCTGCACTAGTGTGTAGTGTGGCTGTACTGCTGTACTGCTGTACTGCTGCACAATATACCTTGTGGTGTGCTCGTGCGGTGCAGTCGGGCGGCAGCTGCAGGCTTCGCAACAGCGCCGCCAGGTGTCGCGGCGGCGGCCCGCCCGCCAGCGCCAGCTGCACTAGTGTGTAGTGTGGCTGTACTGCTGTACTGCTGTACTGCTGCACAATATACCTTGTGGTGTGCTCGTGCGGTGCAGTCGGGCGGCAGCTGCAGGCTTCGCAACAGCGCCGCCAGGTGTCGCGGCGGCGGCCCGCCCGCCAGCGCCAGCTGCACTAGTGTGTAGTGTGGCTGTACTGCTGTACTGCTGTACTGCTGCACAATATACCTTGTGGTGTGCTCGTGCGGTGCAGTCGGGCGGCAGCTGCAGGCTTCGCAACAGCGCCGCCAGGTGTCGCGGCGGCGGCCCGCCCGCCAGCGCCAGCTGCACTAGTGTGTAGTGTGGCTGTACTGCTGTACTGCTGTACTGCTGCACAATATACCTTGTGGTGTGCTCGTGCGGTGCAGTCGGGCGGCAGCTGCAGGCTTCGCAACAGCGCCGCCAGGTGTCGCGGCGGCGGCCCGCCCGCCAGCGCCAGCTGCACTAGTGTGTAGTGTGGCTGTACTGCTGTACTGCTGTACTGCTGCACAATATACCTTGTGGTGTGCTCGTGCGGTGCAGTCGGGCGGCAGCTGCAGGCTTCGCAACAGCGCCGCCAGGTGTCGCGGCGGCGGCCCGCCCGCCAGCGCCAGCTGCACTAGTGTGTAGTGTGGCTGTACTGCTGTACTGCTGTACTGCTGCACAATATACCTTGTGGTGTGCTCGTGCGGTGCAGTCGGGCGGCAGCTGCAGGCTTCGCAACAGCGCCGCCAGGTGTCGCGGCGGCGGCCCGCCCGCCAGCGCCAGCTGCACTAGTGTGTAGTGTGGCTGTACTGCTGTACTGCTGTACTGCTGCACAATATACCTTGTGGTGTGCTCGTGCGGTGCAGTCGGGCGGCAGCTGCAGGCTTCGCAACAGCGCCGCCAGGTGTCGCGGCGGCGGCCCGCCCGCCAGCGCCAGCTGCACTAGTGTGTAGTGTGGCTGTACTGCTGTACTGCTGTACTGCTGCACAATATACCTTGTGGTGTGCTCGTGCGGTGCAGTCGGGCGGCAGCTGCAGGCTTCGCAACAGCGCCGCCAGGTGTCGCGGCGGCGGCCCGCCCGCCAGCGCCAGCTGCACTAGTGTGTAGTGTGGCTGTACTGCTGTACTGCTGTACTGCTGCACAATATACCTTGTGGTGTGCTCGTGCGGTGCAGTCGGGCGGCAGCTGCAGGCTTCGCAACAGCGCCGCCAGGTGTCGCGGCGGCGGCCCGCCCGCCAGCGCCAGCTGCACCAGTCGCGCTCCCATCTCACTGCGGGCGGCTGCTTGCCGGCCCGTGCTGTAAAAGAGAACATGCTTTTAGATTTGTTCTATTTTATATTCCATTTCATTATAATACCGACGATTTGAAGACGACATATTCAGATAGCAGGGACTTAAAGCCGGCCCTCCGTCACGAACTGCTTACCGTTAGCATGGGACCCCCAATACCATCACTGTACCACGACCGTGGCAGGTCACTCGCATATATTATGTGTACCTCCACGAGCCTGCCCGAAGATATAGTCGAGAGTATTGTTATACAAGCCACGACGAGTGTGTACACAGATATCTATACAAATAAATAAAATTGAAGTCTGTTTGTAATATCAAAATTACTGCTTTTTACTAAATGCAGATGAAAGTATATACGGCACTAATAACAAAAATTCAATTTTTATATATTTTGTCTGTCTGTTTGTTCCGGCTAATCTCCGAAACGGCTGGAACAATTTTGACGAAGGACAAGGAGAACTTAGGCTACTTTTATTTTAGAAAAATAATTAGGGTTCCGCGCAAAAAAATTAAACCCAAAATAACACGCGGGCGAAGTCGCGGGGAACAGCTAGTAATCAATAAAGGGGATGAAATTGATTCCATACAAGGGCCCGGCGTGAACAAACTTGAAATATGTCTTAGTTTGAAGTAAATCTTCAAACTAAGACATATTTCTTCTTTCTTTTATTTTTTTTTAACATTTGCTACTTATATCTAAAAGATCATATTTTTGCAGAACCTAGGGTTTTGTTTTTATTTTATGTTTTATGATTTGTAGGTTATGTAGTAAAATCACTCGTTCTTGTGATAAGTTGTTTGGATAAATTGAAAAAACACAAATGCAGTTTTGTATTTATTATTAAATGAAACTCAACTTTTTTAAAGTGTTTAACTATTTTCTGCAATTATCAATAAAATGTGTTCTAAAAAACACAGCCGGAGGCTGTACATTGTCTGTTCTATTCCTCACAAAAACGTAAGTACCACATTATTTTCATTATGTGGGCGCAACAAACTACTGTCCTATGATCCGAGAGAAAATCAAAGGGTCAAATTAAATAAATCCACGAAAGTAAAAACACGAAACCTATCCAAAAAACAGTTACAATGCCAAATGCACAAGCTGCATGACAAGCTGAAACTCGAAGTTATAGTATACGGCAACTAACTCGGCAAGGTTTTGGCGTAGTGGGGGAAAGTTTGCGCATGTACAACGGAACGTACAAATCGTGCGCTCGGAAGTCGACTGGCCAACCAATCACGCGCTCTGAAGTCGACTGGTCAACCAATTGGGCGCTCGGAACGATGCTACTTCATTCCCGCGCCCCGCTTGATAACCAAAGAGATCTAAAAAACGACTTCTGCGCATATAAGAAATCTTGCCAAGTTATACAGGTTAAGTCTCCTTCGGAATATGCAATGATCAATGACCATACAGCCTATTCAGTTGTGTAGGATAATATTCAAATGTTTTGTTTTTTAGTTTGATGACATAGCCTATTCAATCGTTTTCTAAATATATTATTTTATTCAATATTAATTGATTCGCGTCAATGTTTCAATATTATGATTTTTTTTTTGGTAAGTAAGGCTATTTTATTATAAAAATAGCCTTCATTATCTATTAAGTTTAAAAGTTTTATTAAAGAAAAACTGTACAAAAAGGGTTATTATAATATCAAGGAATACATGAATGAAAATAACCCCTGGGAATAAGGTGATCGCCACCATGCTGGTTCTATGAAAGATCATTTAAAAATTGTATAAACAAAATTATTGTTAAGTGAAATTATGTTTAAAAAAAAAGTCCCGTTGGGTTTCTTGCTGGTTCTTTCCAGGACTGAGGTATTTTCCGAACCAGTGGTAATTTTTTTAATTTAATGGTCACTTTATTTTTATTTATAAAAAATGACTTTCAATAAGTATTATGTAATAATCAATATTGAATAAAAATTATTCTATTCTATTCTATTGCCATATTTAAAAACGTTTCGTTTTTGCTAAAGCAAAAGCTTTAGCTTTCTATTCCAGTTTGAAAAAAATGTTTTTATTATTTTCCCAAACAATACAGAAATAAAAACCATTTATTTATGCTTATAATTTATTGTTTCATTACCTATATATTTTTGTATAACTGTTTCGAACGATGTCAAGCACCCAATTTCATACATCTCCTTTATTATATGAAATAATAAATGTATAAAAAATGGCTTATATCTATTTAAATTATAATAGAAGCAATATGACAGCGATCACCTCATTTCCAGAGGTTATTACGTATTTCTTTATATTATAATCACGGATTTTGTACATTTCGATACCTACACCACGTCAGTTGATGTATGCCATAAAAAAGCCGTTTGGCGTTTATACTGAAAATTATCCTAATTTACATTATTTAATGAATGTAAAGTGAAAAAATAGAATAAGCACATTTTATTCCAAGGAAGGCTAGACGTAAATTGTTGTAACTTTCGAAAGAGAACGGACTAAACATTGTATAAACCTCCGGGATGCGAGGCAGGGAGAATCACGCGCTCGAGTCTCGTTTTGATCACATACAACAGACTACGCCGGACTCTCAACCTTCCGTACGTATGTAGGAAACAATTAAGTTCTCTAACTACCTTAAGTAATTAGCAGTAATTCAAATAAATAACAATGAAACGTTCTGTAATAATAAGTAGAGGGCATAGACTATGTGATACGGTCAATAGTTCATCTCACAAAATAGTACTCGTAACTCCGAGACACCCATTGAAAATAACAATGTTTCTTTAGATGAAATAGAAATAAACAATTTTCATGATTCACACCTCATAAATATCACAGGTATGTTTCTTTTTTGTATTATTTTATTAGCAATAATTGGATAAACATTACTTTTTTTGTGGTTTTCAATCTAAAATGTAATAAATTACTTACAACAGTTTACGTCATTGGAGCGTACATTAAAATGTTGTATATAACACATACAACATTTTAACTCGGCAGTTGTTATTCAAAACTCTTTTTGTATGATGATATGTAATACTTTATGCAGCTATTACTTTTGTTTTACCTACTTAAATTCAATGTTGTATGTCAAAAGTCTTTTCTAAAATTGGGTGCCTTACGAGGGGCGTTCAATGTATTCTCGATATAGGAATGTTATAAAAAAAGATAAAATTTTTTTCAATATAGTCTCCCATTATATCAATACATTTATTTCGACCGAAAACTTTGATCGACAATGGCGAATCAAAGGCGATTGTGTAAACTGATGACACTCAATCTGCGGCTAAAACCACAAACGGAAAATTTATCAGATTTCGATATTTCACCTCAACCCTCACCAGCATGTCTTACAAGCTTTTCGATGAATACAACAATGAACAATAGTCCCCTGTCGGATATTTCAAATAATAGCCCCAGCACAAGAGACCGCCGTCGTCAATCAATAAAAGATAAAGGGAATGCTAGAAAAATATACTTTAGTTAATGGATAGACAATAAGAGAAAGTGTTATCGTAATTTGGAAAAAGAATACATATCGAGAAAAGGTAAAATACCAGAAAGTAGAAAAATAGACCCACCATCAGAGCTAGCATGGGCAGGAGACAATATCCTCAGGGAAAGGAGAAAAATGTTTATCCCTTCGCTTAGTCTTATCCACCCTTCGAGCATGGGCATACCGGTGGATATAATATCCACAGTAGATAAAATGGGACATAGACTTAGATAGATTTTTTTGTATGAATATAAACTTAAACCCATGTCAAATGAACTAGGATAAAATTCTCCCTTTCAAATGTCAAAAAAGCTTAATTTTTTATCTTTCATTTGGCCCCATGCTACGGACGGGGGATATATGTCTACTCGTTAAGTCAAACGGGAATATACTTCTTCCCGTTGCCGTGCTTTGGCATAGGGACAAGATAATTTTATCTCTTGTCCAGTGGATATAATTTTTTTGTAGCCCATGCTAGCCGTGCATGTCGCTCTAAAAAAAATGCAGGAAGTCTACGGATGCAGGTGGCTTAGGACCGTGCGTTGTGGCATTCCTTGGGGGAGGCCTATGTTCAGCAGTGGACTTGTGAAGGGCTGTAATAATGACGACGATGATGATGTCGATGTCGAAGTGTTTTGATAAATAAAGCGAAGAAGAAAGAAAGAAAGTTTTTGGAGAGTTTTTGTAGTTTAGGCGATCGAAAAAAGCAATGGACGTATGTGGCTAGCTTGATAAAAAAGCAAAATAATGTAGAGTCTATACAGATACCGTTTCAAGACGTAAGTACACGATAAAGTACTGATACTCGTAGTACATAGGCTGCACTAAAAGTATCGGAAATGGAATATTTCCACTGTTCCTGTCATATTAAAATCTTTTTAATTGAAAACTCCTTGGTTTTAAAAATCGAATACCATTTATTTATTTAAAATAAGATTCTCGGTCTTGTCACAAGATTTTGTCAAACTTGTTACGTCGTTGAGAAAATGGAATTGACTCGAGAAAATTCATGAGCGATGATTTATTATGACTTTCGAAGTGGTTTAATACAAAAACAGTGTGTTTACCGGATGATTTCTGCATTTGGTGATGAAGCCCCATCCAAAACCACAATTTATCGCTGGTTTGCTTAATTTCAGCGTGGACGTGTTAAGCTCAGTGATGATCCCCGCCAAGGTCGTCCAAAAACTGCAGTCACCCAAGAAAACGTTGATGCTGTGCGTAAGCTGATTGAGGAAGATCGACATGTGATATACCGCGAAATTCAGGCAACTTTAGACATTGGCATGAGTCAAATACAAATAATCTTGCATGAACAATTAGGTGTAAAAAAGTTGTTTTCCCGATGGATACCGCATTCGCTGTGTGAAGAGCAAAAAGCGGCTCGCGTTACTTGGTGCGTCAGAACTCTCGAAAGATTCCACGCAGGATTCTCATTATATATAGACATATTAGGGAAATCAAGCCTAAATACCAATACAAAACAAATGATAGCAATAGAAAACCTAAACATTCTTTTTATTTCACTATCTTTTACAAAAATACATTGGGATTAAATGACAGACCTATTCGCACCGTGATTGAAAAATTGAATTCGTAAGGAATCGTTGAACCAGAACTTCGAGGTAAACATAACAAACATAGTCAAGTACCAATATAAAAATGATTGCGAAAAGAACGGACTGCCATATTATGTTAAAATCCACACGTACTGAAAAATTTTTAAATAACAATTTAATATTAGTTTTTATATTCCGAAGGAGGACCAATGTGGAGACTGCATAAACCTCTCAGACCTTGACACTTTATTGGACAAACTTAGTCAGAACCATGGTCAGCCAAAGAGTATAGTAGGTCAGACCAAAGACAATTTTTTAATGATGGTAAATATAACTTAGAGTAATTACTATGTTCTTATCCAAAAATAAAAATAAAATATCAACAATTAAAATATCGAATTATTTGTATGGAGGTCAAGTGAGTGCTAGAATAACGACGGTTCAAGACGATTTGTCGATAAACGAAATGTTTTGAAAAATCATTAATTACCGTGTAGAGGCGTAGTTCATTTTGTTTGGTTAAATCAGTGGCAGGAGTAACGGAGAAAATAGTACGGTGGCGGCGCGAAGGAACAACGTTTATTTTGGAACTTTTTCACCGTGATGTTATTTATCACTCATGCCTAGAGGCATCAGAAGGAAAAAATCAGGAGACGGGCAGCAGCGTCTTCCTAATAACGACTAAAAATAAAAAACTGTGGTTGCCAACCTGCAACCAAGCGTGGCAACTATGACAAATATACCACCTATGATGCATATAGTGGAGGCCTATGTTAGGGGGGTTTTTATAGGCTTTAACTAAAAAAAAAATGTAGGAGGAAAAACAAACGAACATTTTTAGTAAATTTAATCTCGGTGTATTTTTATATCTTTTTTAAATATATTTTTATAATCTCCTCAAGACCGAATTTCAGTTATAGTGACCAATCTCAGTAGCCATTTGTACATGGTACAGGATTGTAATGTATGAATGTGTACACAAACACAGATGTTCAATTCTTCCTTCACTCTCATAGTCCGAACACAATCAGAGAGAGATCAGGTGCAAGACCAATGGCTTTACATCCTTGCAGAAGCGGGTTAAGCGCAGCCACCTTCCTGACTCCGGGTTGTAAGTAGGAATTACTTGGCAGACAAACCAAACAAACCAATAAAACCAGGCATCTCATTATCAACAATTTCAAAAAGACATTAGAAAAAAAATTGTCAATATTTTATGACCTTTATTTTTCTATTAATTTCAGATGTGATTCGCAATGTTGAGCAAAATCGAATAAGAAACGTACTCGTACCAAAAAGAATTCGGAGTGGAGGTATAGTATTTTATAACACACTAGCTACCCACCCCGGCTTCGCAGGGGTGCAATGTAGATACTAATATGGGGCAGTGTGGAGTGATTAATAATATTATTATGATTAGTGTATACTACAGGATATCTTTGTATACAATATTTACAGCTGATTTTTCATGAGACAGTACAAACATGTTTTCTTTAGAGATAATTCTCGAAAACGCGACATATAACTAGCCGCGTGAGAAACACTCAACGCTCAAATCTAAGTCTGCAACGTTGAATGTTTGACCCTGTGACTTATAATGGTCATTGCAAAAGATAGCTTTACTGTAAATTGCAGGCGCTTAAATAGAAACGGTAAATGCGATGGTATAAGGCACGTTTTATTTTAATTTTACTGGCTGGAGAACACCAGTAGACGCTTGCGAACGCTACAAACTATACAACGCTACAGGGCGTGACGCGGCCATCGACATAGCGCGCCCTCAGCCCGCTGCCAGCCGGGACGAAACGTACGGCCCGCCAGCCGCTGTGCCTCTGTTTTTAAATCTCTGATATCTTTTAGGTTGTCCAATTTAATGAAATGCTGTTAAGAGCAGTTTTAATCTACATCAAATATACAAAGAATATAATAATGTATTTAATTGGATAAGGAACAACACTGTATTGTATAAAATAGCTTGGTATTTTTTATTATAATATGTAAAAGATAACAATAGTTACTGTGGGTTATCCTAAGGAGATAAATATATACCATTGCGGACGCTTTTATGGATCTTTTTAAGATCTCGTAAGGTGTAGCCAGCGTTTGGTTTTATGTTTGTTACAACATCACATTACTAATCTTTGAATTTTTCGGTTTTTCTGTACTTATAATATGTATGTATTATACATATAAACTTTCCTTCTGAATCACTCTATCTATTGCTGAAAATATCATAAAATTCCATTGAGTAGTAGTATTACGTGGTAGAGCCGTGTAGCTTTATTTCTGGTATAGTTGTAGCACGAATGGGTCGACTCAACCGGGGAAGGGCCACGCTCTCACAGAATACCAGCGTAAAATAGCAGCTTATACTGCTGTGTTTCGTACGGTGAGTGTAGAGAACCGGAGACCCTTTTTAGTGGAAACGAGGCATTCCATCTTAGTCCACACGGGTGACAACTAAAATTATAAATTGTATAATTTTATTTTATCCTTTTACAGCCAATAAACTGACCAGAGACTGCATATGCTTCGTAAGAAGAATGAAATATATTGCTGTCGAGGAAAATAAGCTTGAAAGGCATTACCCTATTATTTAATAAAAGTTTTGGCAAAATAACACAACATTCAAATCCAAATTCAGTCCAAAGGTTGAAAATAAATAAAAAAAATTATAAAATTTGAGATGTTGTTTTATTCTAATTTAAGACTGAGTACATACAACAGATATGTATTCGCTGAACTTTTCAAATAACTATTTTAAAATAAGAAAATAATCCTTGCATATCGACTTTTTACCTGTGCATCACTAAACTATCGATATCGACACTTGAATATTCGACCTAGTTTGCATCACTATACGACACTAGCGCTTTGCGAATTCATTGGAACTAACAGTCAACTAGACTACTAGTATACAGTTATCTGTGGTGTAGTACGTAATTAACACGTATCACGGCATGAGAGTGATTCCATCGAGCGTCTTGCCGTGCGAGCGTGAACGGCACCAGAGATCGAGAAAAGTCGCACATACGATGAATCGACTAAAGTAAATGAAAAATGGACGGTTCCTTGGACACAAGAGAAGTGGCGAACGATAGTGAGGCGACTCATATCCGCACCTTCCTCCTGCCTAAAGAAGTCTCGTCGTGATACCATCCATACTATCTGGATGATTAGCGGTCTACCACTGTGCGATCTACAAAAAGTTTTCTTGCGGAATCGACAAACACCAGCTATTTTTCCGGACCGAAAAAGGCCGGCAACGCATCTGCAATTCGCCAGGTGTTGCAGTTATTCATGGGCGGCGGTAGGCATTTACCACAAGGTGAGACGAATGCTCGTTTACCCTCTCTTATATATAAATAAAAAAAAAATGTATGCAGTCCCCACGCTGTAGAAGTAAAACCTTCGAATTTAATGAATGATATAAAAAAAAATTATATCACGGTACTTTAATTTTATAGCAAATAAATGAAAATATCCTTATTTTTAGACATATGGTCTAAATTTTAGTGTAATAAATCATAAGATTGTTTTCTTTCGAATAAAATTGCTTTGCAATAGCGCAATCTACTTCATTTTATAGTTGAAGTAATTTTATCGACAAAAAATTTGATTGACTCTCAAGGTGGTACGTAAAATAAGATACTAGGTGGCCTGAGCGCGACTAATTTAATATAATATTCTATCTCATTCTCTCGCAGGCTCAATCTTATAGATGTATATGTTTGTCTCTTTTTAGTGTTGCTTTTTTGTTTCTTCGATTTTTAAATCAGAACGATTCTAAAGAAATGCTTACTTCAAAAACGACTATGACCACTCTGCCAAATGTTACCACGAAGAAGTAACACTAGTTATACATACCGTGGAGGCAACTTTTCCAGTGCAGTGCAGGCCGCAGCTAGGCGCGGACGCAGGGCTTCATGGCGCGTCTGCAGCCCCGACCCGCTATGGTTGTGATCACTGGGGGTTTCGCCCTCGGCCGCTGCCACCAAGTCCCGGACCTGTGAACAGAGGCAACCCATCAAAATCACAAAATAGCGGCGTAAATTAGCAGCTTAATGCTGCTGTGTTTCGTATTGTAGTGAGTGTAGAGAACCAAAATCCTTCTTACTGGAAAGGAGGCATTCCATCTCAGTCCTCAGAGAAGCCTAAATTTAGCCTGATTTATCACGCTCTCAAAGATTCGAAGTACTGCTCTATATATAGCATAGATCTGTACTAACAGACGAAGCATTGTCCGATTCCCGTAAGCACGACTGGATCAAATGGACGCGGGTCCAAATGCCGGGTCATGCTCAAAAAGTCAATTATTAAATAATTTTTGTCAAGAAATACTCAGTAACAACCAGTCAGATAGTTGGCGGTGTTTCACCCCCGTGCCTCAGAAAGCCCGTAAAGCCGTTGGTCCTGCGTCTGATCTCTCTCCGGTCGTGTCAGTTTACCGGCCCATCGCACTATGAGAGTGAGGCAATAGAGTGCAGCTGTGCTTGCGCACACACTTGTGCACTACAATCATGTTCTGACGCAGATGGCTAGTCTTCGTCAAGACTGACCATCATCATCATCATCATTACAGCCTTTCATAAGTCCACTGCTGAACATAGGCCTCCCCCAAGGAATGTCACAAAGCACGGTCCTGAGCCACCTGCATCCATCGACTTCCTGCATGTCTTACCAGGTCGTCAGTCCATCTCGTGGGGGGACGCCCTACACTTCGCCTACCGGTACGAGGCTGCCACTCGAGAACCTTTCTTCCCCATCGGTTGTCGGTTCTTCGAGCTATATGGCCGGCCCACTGCCACTTCAGCTTACTAATCCGTTGGACTATGTCTGTTACTCTGGTTCTACTGCGGATATCCTCATTTCTAAGTTTATCACGCAGAGAAACCCCGAGCATAACCCTCTCCATAGCTCGCTGAGCGACCTTGAGCTTCCTCATACGGCCAGCAGTGAAGGACCACGTCTCAGATCCGTAAGTTATCACTGGCAACACGCACTGATTGTACAATTTCGTTTAAGGTTTTGAGGTATGTCTGACGAGTAGATGTGTCGTAGTTTCCCGAACGCTGCCCAACCGAGTTGAATCCGTCGATTGACCTCTCGGTCGAAGTTGGACTTACCTAGTGGGACCATTTGTCCCAGGTAAACATACTCGTCAACAACTTCGAGCTTAGTGCTCCCAACAACTATCGGCATAGGTGTGACATGGACATTAAACATGATCTTTGTTTTAATCATGTTCATCCTAAGACCTATTCGTTGGGAGACACTATTGAGGTCATTGAGCATGGTGCTTAGGTCCTCCAGCGATTCTGCCATAAGGACTATATCGTCGGCAAATCGAAGGTGAGTGATGTACTCGCCATTGATGTTAATACCGTATCCTTTCCAGTCCAGAAGCTTGAAAAGTCTTCCAATGCAGCAATGAAGAGTTTCGGGGATATAACATCACCCTGTCTTACACCTCTCTGCAATTGGATAGGTTTCGTACTCTGGTTCTGTACACGGATAGCCATCGTAGCCCTACTGTACAAGCACTTCAGCACTTCGATATACCGACAGTCAACTTGGCACCGCTGAAGAGACTGCAGCACCGCCCAAATTTCGACGGAATCAAAGGCTTTCTCATAGTCCACATACGCCAGTAATAGTGGCAAATTGTACTCCTCGGACTTTTGTACAATTCGCCGAAGGGTATGTATGTGGTCTATAGTGCTAAAGCCCTTTCGGAAACCGGCTTGTTCGGGAGGCTGGAAGTCGTTAAGTATGTGCGCGAGACGATTCGTAATGACTCTCGAAAACAGCACGTAGACGCGACTCAGAAGGGAAATCGGTCTGTAGTTCTTCAAGAGAGCGTTTTCGTCTTTCTTGATGAACAATACCACCGCACTTCTGCCCCACGCCTCCGGTGTAATGCCACCATGGAGGACGGATTTAAAGAGCTTCTGAAGGACTTCAAGTACCGGTTTTCCACCCGCTTTCAGAAGCTCCGCTGTAATTTCATCCTCGCCTGGGGCCTTGCCGTTTTTAAGGTGCTGGAGAACCATTCTAATCTCGCTCAGACTGACGTCTGGGATATCTTCGGAATAGTGTCGGATAAGACTCGCTCTTGGATCGTTACTCACACTTGCGTGTGGCTCCAACGATGACGTGTACAGCTGCCCATAGAACCTCTCAATCTCACTCAAAATCTCAGGTGTCCCGGAAACGATGCTGCCACATTCTGTCTTAAGCTTTGACAGTTTGCTCTTTCTGGCAGACAGATCTCTGGCAAAGACTTTGGAGCTTTGGTTTCGCTCGATCGCTTCTTCAATATAAGCTGTATTGAAGTTGCGTAAGTCCCGCCGCATGCATTTGGAGATCTCTGTTCAGTTTCCTGTATGCTGTCAAATCTGTTGAAGAATGTAGCTTCATCTCCCGTCTAACAGCCATGAGATTAAGAGTGTGATCGGAGAGTTTTTGTGTTCTTATGCGGCGGGTCTCGCAGAACTTAGCTCCGACCGCATGGACAGTTTCCACGAGCTTGTCATTCATATCGTCCACTTCATTGCAGTCTTCTAGGCACTGAAAACTGTTTTGTAGCTCGAGCTGAAATGTTTCGAGACTTTGGAACAGAGCACGAGGGGGACGGAGCGTTGACTTCATTAGACGAGAGCTCTCCAACTTAACGTTTAGGTTCAGTGTGCCTCTAACCATTCGGTGATCGCTACCAGTTTTCACCCTCGCGATCACGGAGACATCACTGAACAGTTGTTGTCTGGTCGTCATAATGAAGTCAATCTCATTTTTTGTGGAACCGTCGGGGCTCGACCAGGCCCACTTCCTGTGGGGCCGCTTCTGGAAGAAAGAAAGCATCATAAAGAGTCCCTCTTTCTCCATGAAGTCGGCCAGCTGCTGACCCTTTGGGTTCCGTTGCCCTATTCCAAATTTCCCTACTTTCAGCTCACCATTCTCTCTTGTGCCTAGTTTTGCATTGAAGTCTCCCATTAACACGTATAGTGGGTTTTGGAGGAATGCATGGCTCTAGAGATATCCTCATACATTTCTTCTACCTCCTCATCGGGGTGTACCGAGGTTGGTGCGTAAACCTGTATGGCCTTCAGCGAATACCGTTTGGTGATTCTGAGTATAAGGTACGCAACCCTCGTCGGCACACTCTCAATCTAAAGAACGTTGTTAACGAGAGACTTGTGCACGATAAATCCGACACCTCCTTGGGACAGATGGTCGCCCTCCCGGTGATAGAGCAAGTTGCCGGATTCGAGGATTACCGTGTCCTCCCCTTCTTTACGGACTTCGGATAATCCTATAATATGCCAGCGTAACTTGTCTATCTCATCTTCCAGCTTCACGATCTTCTCGTCAGTCCTCAAGGTGCGTGCGTTGTATGTTGCCAGGTCGAGTCGTCTTAGGTGGCAACCGAACCTCCACCGGAGATTCTTAGCACCCCCTGCCCCGCCGTTACCATGGTCGCCATCGTAGCCAGGAATAGCGGGGCCGCCGGGGACTGGGGGCCGTTTCTTAGTAACTTTAACCATTTGGGAGGTATATTGACATAGTTGCCACGCTTGGCGAGCGGGTTGGCAACCGCAGTTTTTTTTTACTGTAAGTTTGTTGTTATCAGGAAGATGCTGCTGCCCATCTCCTGCCTTTTTCCCTTTGTCGCCTTTTACGACACCCACGGGAAGATATGGGGTAATGGATATTCTTAACCGCCACTACATGGCAACTGACCGCCGTCACTGAAATACGATCTGGAGGACATTATTGTATGCATCATCATCTGCTCGCCATTATGATTTCAACCCATCACATGTTCACTGCTGAACTTGGGTCTCCCACAAGGAATGCCACAAAACGCCTGCATCCATTGACTTCCTGCATATCTTACCAAGTCGTCACTCCATCTAATACCCCCCCCACACACCTCCTTCCCACGAGAACCTTGCTTCCCCATTAGTTGTCGGTTTTTCGAGCTATATGGCCGGTCCATTACCACTTCAGCTTACTGATGCGTTGAATCATTGTACACATTATACGATAAAAATAATTAATACCAACTTTAAAAACAAACGCTTACCTCATCACAGACGTACATATAGTGGTACAGAGCCTTCCCGCCAGACTCCCATCCGCTGATCTCGTGTCTATCTGCGGCTTCGTTCATTTTCTCTAGAAGCGGTCGTAGGCTCTGCACGTTATCTGTAACAATTGGATAGTATTCCTAGTAAATTTACATACATTTTTTTTAACTTATTACAAGACAGTGACAGTGGTGATGCAGCCCTAGATGGTAAATTGCACTGTCTTAGTGTAACAAAAGGTTATTCATTCTCATATATTATGAATAAAATTGAGGTGTCTGTCTGTCTGTCTGTCTGTAATATTCAAATAACTGGCTTCTATTATGCTCAGGGGTTACAAGCATGCTATTAAGACATAAATAACCTTTTTTTAAATATTTGTCTGTCTGTCTGTACGAGTTAATCTTGGGAAGTTAACAGACAGTGAGCAAGAGAGATTAATAGGTAAAGAGAAGAGAAGGGAAAGCTATGATTTAACCAGAAAAAATTATATTAATATATCCTAACCAGGTTAAGGCGAGGCGGATCGTTAGTTTTTAATAAATATCTTATATCTTCCTCTCTTTCTTCATCAGCTTGCATAGATCTATTACTGCACCTGGACCTGGGGCTCTCATGTCCTTAGTTCTTCCAAGTTAGAATTTGTCTAAATCGTCACGCTTGTTGACGCTGTTGCCCAACACCAGGCTGGCTATTTTAAATCTAAAACGAGAATAACACCGCCATCTGTCTGAAGAAATAAGATGCGAGGTTTGTGCCATAGGCATGGGCAAAAAATATCGATATATCGATATTTTCTCACAATAATATCGATACATATACCTTCGATATTTTTAATCACGATACGTCGATATTTATTTTCTAGAATCGATTTCGTATCAATTTCGATATATCGTCGTCCAACCGTCACCAATATTAAATTTTGAGCCTTATCCTTACATCATGGAAATGATGTCTATATATCGATATATATATCATGCGATCGATACTGTTTAAAATATTGATTATATATACCGTAAATTGGGGATATTTGGAAATCGTGGGTATATTTGGTATTTTTTATTTTTAAGATTGCGATCCAAATATTTTTTGATTTGGCAATGGTAGAAAAGAGATATTCAATCTGGCAACACTATAACTCATGTCAAGTTTATTCTGAAAAGTTACGCCACGCTGCCATAAGAACTGTGTCCACAAGGATTATTTTAATAAAACCGTGAAAAAACAGCAAAATCTTCATTGTTGAACTTTCGGACGGTGCTTTGAAGATTTCAAAGTAAGTAAAAAACTATTTTCTACAAAGAAAAGAGCGATATCTCGGCATTCCAAAACCCTCCTAATCATCATCGCATGTGTTACCTGTCCGCCATTTTGATCGAATATTCTCATGAGGATATTTGGAACAGCAATTTAGGATATTTGGTACCGTAGTACCAAATATCCCCTTATACGCAATGATGGTGTTATTTGGACCAACTATACCAAATATACCCACAAGTAATGTGATCCCATGTTTGCATTACTGGTGTTATTTGGAACGATAATACCAATTATACTCACAAGTAATGTGATGTTTATTAAGGGTAAGATGTTCGAATCCTTTGTATTTCGGATATAATTTTAGAGACTTTTGATTTTGTTGCAGGAATATGCATCAAAATGCCACGAATATATATTAGAAAATTCAGGAATACTAGGAATGGAAAGTCCTTCCTACCTTACACTAATTACAGCTCTGAAAATTTACAGAAAGCAATTCGAGACGTAAAAAGTAAGACTTTAACACTAGGAGAAGCATCATCTAAATATCAAATACCTAAAACAACGTTATCGAGAAAATGTAGAGACCTTAATTGCTCACAAGAAAAAGCAGGACGTCCTACCCTTTTTTCACCTGAAGAAGAGAAAGCCTTCATTAAACACATTGTAAATTTGGCAGACTGGGGATTCCCATTCGATCTTATTGATCTTCGTATTTTCGCGCAAAGGTACTTAAATAAACTCGGAAAAACAATATACGGACTACCCGAAAATTTGCCTGGTTCAGAATGGGCTCGAAACTTTTTAAGGCGTCATAAAGATTTGCTTTCGAACCGTATGGCTTCCAATATATCTACCGATAGAGCAAAGGTATCAGCATCGACGATAGACTCATTTTTTGAGTATTTTGCACCAACAATCGATGGTGTAACACCTGACCGAATCATAAACTATGATGAGACTAATTTAACTGACGACCCAGGAAACAAAAAATACATTTATAAACGTGGTGTAAAATACCCAGAACGGGTAACAAATACATCGAAAACGGCTGTTTCCCTAATGTTTGCTGCTACAGCCGAAGGTCAGTTATTACCGGTTTACGTGGTGTACAAAGCAGAACACCTATGGGATACCTGGTTAGAAGGAGGTCCTCCAGACGCAATATACAATCGCTCTAAAAGCGGATGGTTCGACTCGGTTTGTTTCGAGAATTGGTTTGAAAAAGTGATCGTTCCATACACTAAAAAAAAGCCTGGACGTAAAATTGTCATAGGTGACAATCTCTCTTCACACTTTTCTGAAAACGTATTAAAAAAGTGTGAAAAGCTAAACATTTCATTTGTGTGCTTGCCCCCCAAATCAACACACCTTCTGCAGCCGTTAGACGTTGCTCTGTATGGACCTTTAAAACATTATTGGCGAACTATATTGACTGGGTGGAAAAAAGTAGAAGGACGCAAACATAAAACCCTAGTAAAAGATGTTTTTCCGAAACTGCTGGCCAAACTTATGAACAAACTTATGGAAACCAACACAGGGGGAAAAAACGTCATTGCAGGTTTTAACAAATGTGGGCTTTATCCAATCAACCCGGAACGACCGAAGTCATGACTGCCACACAGTCATGACTTACTACCCGAGGAAATTGAAACAGCTGCTACTTCAGTTGTCATAGAACATCTAAAAGAAATGCGGGGGCTCTCGGCTTCAGATGAGCCCAGAAGACGTAAAAAACGATGTAATGTTCCAGCAGGCCGAGGCATCACAGCACGAGACATTGAGCAAACGAAACCTAAAAAACCAAATAAAATGACAGATAATGAGTTTGTAAATAGTGAAGTAGAAGTTTCTTCATCTGACTCGTCTGAAATAATAGATATTTCAACATTTAATATTCTAGAGCCAGGTCCGTCCAAGTCAATAATCCAAACAAAAAGTACGCAGAAAAATAAAATGTATGAAAAAGAATCTAATATACATAAGAACACCAAGAAAGGTAAAGGTATTGTAAAAAGTAGCAAAATTGGAAAAGAAAATCAAGATAAGAACATGAAACGCAAAGAAAACGGGAAAAAGAAATGTTTTGAAGAAAATAACCATGATAATGCACTGAAACAAAATAATAAAGATAAAAAGAAAAAAAGAAATTGCAGAAAAATTTCAACATGCTCTACTACTTCAGAGTCACAAACCATAAGTATATATGAAGATTCTGATTGTATTGACGAAAACTTTGACATTGATAGAGATATGGATTTAAGAAATATGAATCGTTGTTCCTCGGGTCCAGTCACATTGACAGAAAATCAAGAGATAGTCCAATCTTCTGACAACATAGAATCAAAAACACACAAGGAGTTAAGCACACTCGAATCTATAGAACATATAATCCAAACTTCTGACAACATAGAACCAGGAATTACAAAGAAGGAGTTTAGAACAACCGAAAATATAGAAAACTTTAAAATAACTACACCTTCTGACATAATAGAACCAGACATGAAAACAAATAAAACAAGCTCAATCAGCATTCCAGCAAATCAAGGGATTGCTCAATATTGTAACAGCAGAGAGAAAGAGACATCAACGACCAATGAGACTCAAGAAAACCGAGATACGAGTGAATTTTATGATAAGAAAGAAGCAAAAGTTACTACGAAAGAGAAATTACCAACAGAAAGCACTGACAAGACTATATCGAACCAAGAGACAAAACTATCAGAAGAAGATATCAAGACCAATTTTAACAACAATGATTCAGAAGGTAGAAACACAGAACAAGAAAAAGAATATGAATTGAATGACCACGTAATTGTAAGATACATCAACAAAAAGAAATGGAAATATTATATAGGTATCATAGAAAACATAAACATGGAAAATGAAGAACCTTATACTATTAGATTTTATAAAACAACTAAAAAACCGTCGTTACGGTTCCTTTTGACACGAAAGCTTGACAGGGACATAGTTCCCTCTATATGTATTGTCAAGAAAGTCAATTTGATACAAAACCCAAATTATTCAAAGGAGTTCTTTCTGTCCTTGGCTGACGATGATGTCGTGGAATTATTTACGTAAGTGCATGCTGATCGTCTTAAAGGATTGTAGGTAGGCCATTGGTTGAAATCAATGGATAAAATCACAGGATAAAATTCACTAACTGACGCTGTCATAATTATGTCAGTGGTTCCATATAATTTTTAAATATTATTTTGTACTTGTAGTAATTGGTAAGCCTAAAGTTTTCATACATTGTAAGAATTAACTCAACACAAATATTTAAAATCATGACAGTTTGACATTGGGACTTTGGGACCAATTCACAGGCACAAAAGTTATTTGACAGGACTAAAGTTGTTTTAAACAATCTTTCTTTTTCTTATTATGGACAAGAGAAGGATATAATCCTTTAAATAATTTTAGTATTGTCAAATAAGTTGTGTGCCTATGAAATAGCCCAACTCTAGAGAGATTTATTATAGTAGACGTTTTCTTTAACACTTAAGTATAAGATTTCAGGATTTGATTTGGGAGTTCATACTTCGCGATCGCTAAATTTTGTAAGTTTATATTGTGATAATTTGATTTGTTACCTAAAATACACACAATGTTAATTAAACTGGGTTTTGTTTTCGAAAACTATACATATGCGATTGGTTTATTCAATAATTGACAATTCTTGTTCCATATTTCGTAAAAGTAAACTTTTAAATGCGAAATCGTAAAATTATACCTATAGTGATATCATTTAGCAAAAAATAAGTGGAATACTTCGCCTTAAGCCTTATCTACTGTTCCAAATATCATCCAATGCGTATAAAATGGTATTATTTGAGAAATACATCGTAACAACACTCACGGGATTTTCATTTCCAAAAAACCCCATGAGGGGTATATTTGGAACAAGACCTTAAAAAATATATATCTCGGTAACAGTCGGCCTTATACTATTGAGACAGCCACTATCAGACCTATCTGACTAGGGTTTTTCCATAAGTGTTTAGAATATTACGCAATTATTTATATTACGTTAACAAACAAACGTTTTCGTCTCAAAAATGTACCAAATATCCCCATTTTACGGTATATCGATATATTTTTTCCCTTGCCCTTTGCCTTACTGTGCCACCATCGATTTGGAGGTTGGTGTGGAATCGACGCGAGTTCATATTATTTTGGAACTACTAAGTGGAATCCATCTGGATAAGTGATAAATATTTATCTTTAAACATCAGGTGGACTTGTGCTCCTTTGTTAAGTACCCATATTCTATAAAACCTAACAACGTTGAACTTAGAGGAGATGAGCGCTTTAGGACCAGGTAATCTTAGACGAAACCACTCTTATCAACCTTGAGCACAGACGCAGAGTAGCAAAGATCTTTTCACGCATATACACTCGTACACTCGTACACGCACTCGCTAACGCACTCGCACACGCACTCGTTCACGCACACACACAGATTGAAAGCTTACCAAGCCTAGCATCTATGGAAAATCCTTCCATATAATCAACAATCAATCATCATACACATCACAATACATTTTTTAACATGAAATTGTGACACAGACAAAGTGACCCCACATCCCCACAATAAGCCATATATATAATAGTAGTTTTGTAGGATTTTAATAACGACAATAAAGTTAACAACTTGCTGTCATCATAATATTATTTTCACATGGAATAGGAAAAACAATTTACAATAATTTGACCCCACAATAATATAACACAATAGTGATTTTATTAAGTTTTAAAAAAATATTCGATTTAACTCACCAGCCAAAACCGCATCGGCCAGCAGTTCATCTACCAGAACTTTGTGCGCGGCGTTCCACTGCTGGGCGCCGACCAAGTACTCCGCTTCCAACATTGGTTGGTGCTGGAAAGTTTAACACCGTTTAGTAAACACTTCTATGTCTACTGCTAAACCATTGGTTCTTACCCTTTTAGTGATGAGGGACCATTTGACCAAGTTTTGGATTACCGTGGACCACATATTCTTAACATATTATAAATTATAGTAAGAATGATTTTTAAGTTGGTTTTTAAGTTTGTTCTGTTTTAAATGTTTGTAAAGTCAATATATTGTATTGTAAACATACAAGTAGAATTCGCACACTGATCATTTTCCAAAAATATTATACACTCTTTTATATTTGAAAGAATCCTATAGTGCCTTCGCGGATCATTTTGTGCGCATTTAGAGACCATTAGTGGTCCACGAATCAGACCCACGGTACTATACCGATAATTCTGAACAAAAACTGTCACATCGATGGATAACACGGGCCGGTAGCTGGCACGGTAAATATGACACGCAAGGACGAAACAAAGTTACATACTTATCAAAAATAAACTTTAAATCACGTGGTTGACTAAGTGCGCACATAAATAATGAAAGCATTTTCTTAGTTACATTAAACAAAACCAGTGTTAGACTGTCGAAAACAACGTTTGCGGTTTACAAAACAAAGAACTAGTCTTCTCGCCCGCTCGCAGTCGACTAGAGAAGTTGCGGAGAATTGACCGTGACTTAATGCGCAATGTATTAATATCGTAGTGCCCGTGTAGTATAGTATACATAGAAGTATTTGCTGTTTAATGATTAGTGTACACCCCATTTCGTCCAATGGATATCGTAAGAAACGTCTTTTATACGTGGTAGAACCATGCTGCAGCTATATTAGTAGTATAGTTGTAGCACGAATGGGTCGGCTCGACCGGGGAAGGAACACGCTCTCACAAAATACCAGCTAAACACTGCTGTGTTTCGTATGGTGAGTGTAGAGAACCGGAGACCCTTTTTACTGGAAATGAGGCATTCCATCTTAGTCCTCACGGGTGACAACGCATCTGCATTCTAGATAGATGTAGATGTCTATGGGCCGCAGCAACTACTTACCATCGGGTGGACTGTGTGCTCGTTTGTCACCCTTATCTTATAAAAAAAATGAGATATGCCAGAAAAATCTCATAACCTCTGAAAGATGGCGCTATATTTAATTCTATACCAGACGTAAAACTCTCAAGACCGGTGAAGGGCAAACGTCAAAGGTTAAAAAGGACTAGTACTGTCAACGTCAATTCGCTTGTCAAGCATGACAATTAAACCATATCCTCCGTAAAAAGGGAGAGGCCTATATGTTGATACGTGGTAGAGTCATGCTGCAGCTATTTTAGCTGTAGCACGAATGGGTCGACTCGTCCGGGGAAGGATCACGCTCCCACAGAATACCAGCGTGAAACAGCTTCCTGGAAATGAGACATTCCATTATGGTCCTTAGGGATGACAATACAATTTCATTTTGATTCTTAATTGAGGATAAATGTAAATGTCTATGGGCCACTGCATCCACTCAGCATCAGGTGGACTGTGTTCGTTTTTCATTCTTATGGTATAGAAAAAGGAAAATTATTTGTAATTAATTTCTATATTCATACATATCAGGTCATAAAATAATGTAGCACAATTAAAACAAATAAATGATTATTTATTAAAAGTTAACTGTGGGCCACAGCATCCACTTATCAATGAAAATAGTGGAAAACAAAACGGACAGTGTGGTTGTTTTTCAACTTCATTCTACAAATAAAAAATCGGGTGAGATTGTGTCAGGCACACGGCTGTTAGTTTAACGTGAAACGTCTATGTCTATGTCCAGTCGCTTTCAGTGTTATAAATGAGAGAGAGCGGCGGCTTTGGTAAATCTGCGCGTTGTCCCTTCCCCGCTAACCTACATGGCCTTGATTCAAACTCAAGGTCGTAACAGCGAGCTCACTATACAAGGTTATTTTTCAAAGAATAGCCAAATTTTACATTGAAGTTCAAATCAATAAATTATTATACACCTATATTACGTTTTTTGAAAATACGAGTAAATAAGGTTTCTACTATTATTTGAAATTATTCCTTTTGAATGTGATTTATGAGCAACAACTACTCTTACGCGCGCTCCTGTCTTTTTGATTCAATTCACGTTTTCGCTTAGTACTAAATGACGCGAATTATGATTCCAATTTTCATTTTACACTTTTAACGGGCTTAGGATCGTCATAATAAATAAAATTAAAAAATATATTTTTGCTTATCGACGACATAAACAACGACTGTCCTTATTATGGCGTATTTAAAAAATTGAAATAAACTATATAAAATATACGCAAGTAGTCCCAATATCTAATATTGTTACTTCAAAATGGAATCCGTTTCTCTTGTGGGGACGTGAATAACGTAAATGCGGCGTCAGACGATAGTATCCACTGGCGAGGTGGCGAGACGAGAAAAACCGAAATGGTTGCTTCCGCGCAGTCAGCGGCCTCTAAAGATTGTCGAACGGTCACGGGTCTACGGGCCACATTTTTTATGCATAGACGAGCACGTTTTTTTCAAATATTTTTTACACTTATTACCTCTTCTTAAGTACTTTTAACTTCCATGCAATAATTTTACTGTGGCGTTCTTCAAAAACTTTGAACCTCATTGACGTAAACACGACTTTTTATACACAGATAAAAGACTAACGGTGAAAGTTCCGGCGAGTTTGCAGATTCACTATTGGAGTTATCGCTCACTGCACTTGAATAGTTTGCTGATCTGTAAATTTTTCTTCGATTGGTAGGTTAATAATTACGACATGTACGCACGCTAAATTTTGTATCTTTTACATTTTTACACTTAGTATCTTTGTATGTATCACGTAGACTTTCATTGCTTAAAATGGAATATCGCAACATTTCATAGTTTAAAGTATCCGCGGTTCGAATATTTTCGTTACTTCATTGGCAACGAAGCGTACGTAATGATGTCACGGTCAACACTGTTAGCTGTCGGCCGGGCGAGCGGACATAAGTATTTAACCGGGTACTTGTAAGGTACTTTGACGACGAATCTGTACGTGCGAGGTAAAATCAGTTATTTATGCATTACCACGCGTTTTGAATTTCAAAGATAAAAATGACAAAAAGTCTGAGATTTTTTAAATTAATATTCCTTCATCATTTGCTTATATTACTTAATCCTTAACCTTCTCTACATATTTGGCTGATAATTGCAAAATAATCCTGTATAAGTTACATAATGACACTTAGGTCTCTAAGACTAATTCTTTTGTAATTATTAAGGCAAGACGATATAGATCACGGAGCAAATACAAAGAAGAGATGCCCTAATCAACTGTGCACTGTAATTTTAACTAGGTCCTGACGTCATCATAGTGGGCGTGGCTTTAATTAGTACAGTCAGCGTTCGTCCTGTGTCGTGTCGTGTCACTTGTGTCGAAAATCGCAAATCGGTGTATTTTTGTAGTATTAAGAAGAAAAGGATGAAGTGTTGTGTTTTATCGTGTAAAAATTACTCAGACAGACGCTCTGATGCTATAGATGGCATCACATTTCATTTGTAAGTAATTTTATACCTAATTTATGGAAATAGTGCTAGAAAAATCTCTGCGTCAGCTTTCAAATGTAATAAAATATATTCGACACTACATGGCGACACTTTGTGTCATGGGAATCAAAATATGAAGGTACGTAGAGGTCAGTATTGGTAAAATAATCATATGAAGGTGTTGAAATTTGTTTTGCAATCAGTTCTAAAGAATTTTTAATCGCCAAAATATTATTTTTAGTTTTTATAATCATTTTGTGAACAGGGCGCCATATATCGTCAAGATAGCTAAACAACATTACAACATCGATATGGGACGATGAGAGTAGTTTTGCTATTTATCGGTAGATGGCAAAATAGTTAAAAGGGCGGGGATTAACATCCCCCCAACCCGCAAATTTTCACGCGTTGTTACATAGTGAAATCTAATTACAACATCTCCTCTTTGTATTTGCTCTGTCATATAGACCTTTTCGTTACGGTTCAGTTTTATGACCTGGTACCCATATGTCTCAGTGTGATTTTGAAGACGTTTCACGTCAAAAAAACTTCAGTCCCAACTGCGACATGTGGCGATCCTAATTGGCGGTAGTCTGACCTGGTACTTGGCGCGGTGAGCCTGCGCCAGCAGCAGCCAGGCGGCGGGCAGCTGCAGCCGCCGCACCAGCTGCAGCTGCTCCACAGCTGGCCCCTCCTCGCGGCACGGAGCGTTGCGCGATAGCACGCCACGGATCAAGTGCCCACGCCTGGAAACAAACGAACCTTACTTGACTGAAGTCTCACCCTCAGCAGATACGGGATATTATGGGGTAAATGGGATTGTTATTATTATTATTACTATTGGGGTATTTATACAATATTCTCATCTGGTTAAGCTGAATAAATACATAAAAGAAAATGAAAAGCGCACATAAATATACATTAAATATAGTAACATACATATGTAAAAAATTAATAATATACAAATAAATAAAAGCCCAACCAAATGAAAGATCTCGGCAGGGGAGAGCAAACGAACGAAGTTTTGGGGGATAGGAAAAAAAAACCGGCGGACGATGCGGGCGGTATCGAGGAACACCGCTCCCTGAACTTGAACCCGCTCAAGGAGGCGGTGCTGTCCATCACGGAGTCCCAGTCGCCTCAGATGATACATTTATTGATATATTATTATTATTACGAGATTTTAGAGTAAATATATATTAGCCAATGTATTTTGGTTATCTCATTAGGCTGCATAAATATTTAAAATAAAATGATAAATAGTCATTAAATATAGTAAAATATATAAATATTATTATTATTATGTAGTGACAGGCGAGCAACCTATAGCTGATCTGCCTATAGCAAAAATACACTAAATTTGATTGTTTTTGTACCATTTTTCAGATTATTTACTTTACTTATAGCGTTACCATTAAAGCCTATTAAAGTCCACTCGCTGAACATAGGCCTGCCCCCATAGATTACCTCATAGAGGTGATATTTGTCATAGTTGTAATGTTGCTGTTCATTTAATAATTTCACTTCTCAGTGGGTCATGTACTCCTGGTAGATTATCTTCTATAACATGCATCCATTTCAGCCTATTAAAGTCCACTGCTGAACATAGGCCTCCCCCATAGATTGCCTCATAGAGGTGATATTTGCAATAGTTGTAATGTTACTGTTGATTTAATAATTTCACTTCTCAGTGGGTCATGTACTCCTGGTAGATTATATTCTATACATGCATCCATTTCAGCCTATTAAAGTCCACTGCTGAACATAGGCCTCCCCCATAGATTACCTCATAGAGGTGATATTTGCAATAGTTGTAATGTTACTGTTGATTTAATAATTTCACTTCTCAGTGGGTCATGTACTCCTGGTAGATTATCTTCTATACATGCATCCATTTCAGCCTATTAAAGTCCACTGCTGAACATAGGCCTCCCCCATAGATTGCCTCATAGAGGTGATATTTGCCATAGTTGTAATGTTACTGTTGATTTAATAATTTCACTTCTCAGTGGGTCATGTACTCCTGGTAGATTATCTTCTATACATGCATCCATTTCAGCCTATTAAAGTCCACTGCTGAACATAGGCCTCCCCCATAGATTGCCTCATAGAGGTGATATTTGCCATAGTTGTAATGTTACTGTTGATTTAATAATTTCACTTCTCAGTGGGTCATGTACTCCTGGTAGATTATCTTCTATACATGCATCCATTACAGCCTATTAAAGTCCACTGCTGAACATAGGCCTCAACCATAGATTGCCTCGTATTTGCCATAGTTGTAATGTTATTGTTGATTTAATAATTTCACCTCTGAGTGGATCATGTGCTCCTGGTAGATTATACTTAGGCTACTTTTATTTTAAAAGAAGAATTGGGGTTCCGCGCAAAAAAAAAACCCTAAATTACACGCGGGCGTAGTCGCGGGGAACAGCTAGTATTAATATAAAAAATATGGTTGTTTGATGTGGATTTTGCACAGTCGACAAACCTCAGTGGTCTAACTAAGTTAACTGAGGCCGTGTAGTGGTGGTGAAAGAATATTCACTACCCAATATTATCCCTTGGTTGTCTTACTAATAACAGAAAATTAAAAAAAAAACTGCGGTTGCCAGCCAACCCTGTCGCCAAACGTGGTAATTAAGGCAAATGTCTCTCCCTCCTATGAGGCAATATATGGGGTAGTCTTATGTTCACTAGTGGACTTTTAATAGGCTGCAATTATGAGGATTGTGATAATAAAGTTGTAAAAAAACACAGATCAGCATCGATATATTGTGTACTGCGCACTAGATTTCGCATTGCGAACATTGACTATGTTCAACTGAACTGTACTGCAATCCGTACACTGAACTAAATATTGTGTAAATTGAAGATTTGTGAATTCCATAAGATTATTATTATTATTACATTTTATTTAGAAATATGTTTGTTTAGATTAAAATGAGAGTATTTTATATTAAAGTCTTATATTTATTTTATAATAATATCTTTTTTTATATTAACTCCCGCGCATGCACGAAGACAGAGTAGCGCACAATTTTTGTTTGGAATGGCTTCTCTAGCACGTAGTACATATAACTCAATGACAGATCAGTAAGTTGAAGTGCCAATGGGCCGGCTATATAGCTTGAAGAACCGATAAACGATGGGTAAGAAAGGTGCTCGAGTGGCGGCCTCATACCAGAAGTGTAGGATGGGCTCCCTACTATATGAAGTGGCAACCTAGACCGTGCTTTGTGGTATTCCTTAGCGAAAGCCTTTATTTAGCAGTGGACTGGTATAGAGTGATGATAATAATGACGACGATGATGATGATGATATTGGTGATGACTTAATACTCACATGACGGGCTCCTGCAAGTAAGCGAGCGCCTGCACAGCCAAGTGCCAGTGTCCGCGCGCCTCCAGCTGGTCCGCCGCTCCCGTGATGCTCTCGGCAGTCGGGTGGCCCAGCCAGGCGCCCACCAGGAAACTGTAATACGAGTGCTGATGCAATCCTGCTGTGTGCTGACCATGTTACAGAATTCATCGCTTATTATAATTTTATGATGGAGAGGGAGAGGCTGTATAAGAGAATCCATCAACTAGTAAGAATAGAGAAAATATAATTATATTGTAAAAAGATTTTGTGGACGACATATTTGTAAATAACCCCTGGGAATAAGGTGATGCTAAACTATTTCTGATATAGTCCAATCATTTAATCCAAAAAAGGTGGTCAACCTCGGAATAATAAATAATAAACTGTCTAATAATAAACTCATGATAGTATTCAATTAAAGGTTCTCGAGTGGCAGCCTCGTGTGGGTAGGCGAAGTGTATAGCGATCCCCCACTAGATGAAGTGACGACTTGGTAAGACATGCAGAAAGTCGATGGATGCAGGTGGCTCAGGACCGTGCTTTGTGCCATTCCTTGTGGGAGGCCAATGTTCAGCGGTGGACTTGTGAAGGGCTGTAATGATAATGATGACGAAACTGTATGATGATTTTTATTTTGGCATTGTACATGTTGTCCTAAGTCTCTTAAATCTCGTGTCCGCGTCTTCAGATATTCAAGGTCAAAGGTAAAAAAAAAAACTTTTTTTGCAAATATCTCGCTTCATATGGTGTTAATGTTATCTACATTTATTATAAAAATTGTAGAAAATAACATTCTCATTAGGTATTACATTAGATATCGATATATATATATCTAATATATCGATATCATTTCTAGTTGAAAATCGTTTATTGGTGATTTTAATGATAATAATTCTATAAACACATACTCGTTACCGTCGCGAATCATATTTTATTAAACATACAACCTGAACCTGACCTGCAAATTCTAAAAAAACGCAAGAAAATTTGAATTTCGCGGGCCACCCTGGAGCTTTCACCTTAATCTAGGATAGACGAAGACGTCTATGGGCCACGGCATCCACTTACCGTCAGGTGGTCTGTGTGCTCGCTTGTCATCTATATTCGATAAAATAAAAAATATATCCATATTCTATAAAATAAAAAAAATTGTCATCTATATCCTATAAAGTAAAAAAATAAAAATTAAGTATTGGACGCAATGTGCAGTGGTCCAGGAGTGGGAGACGTACGTAAGACTGTAGTCGAGGGGGTTTGCAGTATGGGCTGCGGGCTGCAGTTTAGCTCTGCAGTTGAGGGCTCTAGCTCGCAGCAACTCGTAGCGAAGATCGAGAACACGTCGTCGCTTGCTCTCCTGACAAAAAAATATTACATTTAAAAAAAAAGGCTTCAAAAACTAAAAACCAATTTCCACATAATGAGGACTAATAATCTGTCGCTCACCAGATGTCCCTAGTTGGGACTGAGTAATTTTTTGTTACACAATGTCATTTAGTGAAGGCATCCACGATTATTTCTGCCACCAGGGCGGCGCCACTAGGATGAGGTATAATATATGACAGATTTCATAGTGAAGAAGTTAATTTGTTCGAAAAATATTTCTTTTTGAGCTATTAACTATATTTTACATTTATAACATTAGAAATAAATAAACCAAACCACAGATATTCATAAAAGTAGAAAAACAAAAAAAATGTTTTGTGTATTAATATAATAATACTCTAGAAACTGATAAACTTTTTTTAAAAAACAACTTCTTAATTAAATGACATTGTGTAACAAAAACATTACCTCAGTGTCAACTAGCGACATCTGGTGAGCAGAAAATTATTAGCCCTCATTTAGAAGTTAGTTTTAATTAAAAGTTTATCAGTTTCTAGAGTATATTGCATAAAACAACGCCTCAGTAGTTTGCTCTTTAATATTTTACAGTACACGGTGACTTAAAACCACGTTTAAGTACGCTCATGGGAGACTTAACTAGCCGATTATTGTACGGTGTGTTTTACTTAAGTCACGCACAATATTTATCAAGGCGAGCGAAGCGAGCTGTGCACTATCACACAATCATTGCATTTTTATGGTACACTTTACTGAGAAACTATTAGATTTTTAGTTTTGCGCTTTGACATAGTATTTTCGATTCATGTCTAGTGTGTTATCAATTATAAAAATATTATTTTATACACATTAAAAAAAATAGAAGATATAACAATTGTCATCAATTAGATTTTTATTGTATTACCAACCCGAATGACAGGGTGAGAAATAGTGTGATAAGAGAAAAGTGTGGCTTGCAAGATGACGTTGTGACCAGGATTAAGAAAGGAATGCTTCGGTGGTTTGGTCATGTAGAAAGAATGAACGAGGAAAAAGTGACAAAGCAAATTTATGTTGTAGAAGTGAACGGCAGGGTCGGGAAGGGACGCCCTAGACGAAGGTACCCTTAACCGACGAGCGTGTATGCGTAGATATATGGATGTAAAGGAGGCGAGAGAGGTGTGTCAGGATCGCGCCAAATGGAAGTCCGTAGTCTCTGCCTACCCCTCTGGGTGACAGGCGTGAGTGTTTGTGTCTGTGTACTATTACAAAATACTTTGTAGTAGTACCGCGTTAGATACGTTAGATGGCGGGCGCTGAATATGAATTATGAATGGAGCATAAACTGATGAAAAAATATCGGATACCTATAGTCAGATCTATGGTCTGGCCAAGATCAATAATATATTTTTTACTGAACAATTTGTTTTAAGTGTTATTTATAAGAATTCGCGAGCCATTACAAAGTTGTACGTTTAGCTAGTAACATTTTATAATTTTTAAACAAAAAATTAACATTTATTGAAACATTTTTGTTTGATTTTAATTTCAAATAACGTTTTTCTTGAATTTTAATTTCTGCCTTGCTTGTCTTGACACGATTTTTGTGTTTATAATCATTTAGTAATCTACAATTTTTCAATTTTCAAAATGTGGTTTTAAGTCACTTGCACTATAAAATAATTTACGATACACGGAACATAAGTAGCGTGTTAAGTTCGTGTTAAGTTACTCACTTCGCTCGTGTAAAAAATCTTCTACAGTCTAGGCTCTAAATAATATACTTTGTATAATATATTACATTGTTCAGTCCAATTCCCAAGACCTTCGAGAAACTAACAGTTTTAACAGTGGTAGAGCCACGCGGCAGCTTTTGCTGTCGCACGGATGGGCCGGCTCGATCCGGGGTGGTACCACGACCTTACAGAATACCAGCGTGAAGTAGAGGTTTACCTCTGCGTTTCGCTTAGTGAGTGCAGGTGGCCGGTGGCCCTTTTTACTGGAAATGAGGCATTCCATCTTAGTCCTCACGGGTGACAACGCATCTGCATTTTGATTCGCAAACGAGGATAGATGTAGATGTCTATGGGCCGCAGCAACCACCTACCATCAGGTGGACTGTGTGCTCGTTTGTCACCCTAATCTTATAAAAAAAAAAAAACTAGCTTACTCCTTTTTAAAGCACCTGCAATTCTCCTAGTGTTGCAGATGTTCATGTGCGGCGGGGTATTCACTTACCATTAAGTGAGCCGGATGCTAGTTTGCCCCCTCTTCTATATATAAAAAAACCCCGACCAACGGTCTAGTAGTATGTATACAAATCTTTCGACAGATTCCAAAGTATTGTGCTTTACTTTTATAGCCTATCAATGTCCACAGCTGAACGTAAGCCTCTCCCTTAAATTGGCTCATAGGGTCGATTTTGCCATAGTTGTAATGCTACTGTTGATTTAATAATTTCACCTCTCAGTGGGTCATGTGCTCCTGGTAGATTATCTTCTATACACCCATCCATTACAGCCTATTAAAGTCCACTCTCAATGGGTTATGTGCTCCTGGTAGATAATCTTCTATACATACATCCATTGCAAGCTATTAAAGTCCACCGCTGAATATAGGCCTCCCCATAGATTGCCTCATTGGGGGGGGATATTAGCCTCGGTAGGCGGGTTGGTAACAGCAGTGTTTTTTATCAGGAAAATGCCTCTCTAGTTCTGTTTCGTTTCGCTCTGTCGCCTTCTACGATGCCCACGGAATGACATAAATTATTTTACGACGTCACTGAACGAGAAACCACATGCATATAGGAATATTGCAAGAGAGCAAGAAAGAGAATGAGAAAGGAAAACGGAAATAATGATGACTCCAGGTAATACTAATAAATTAAAATTAAACATTTTGTACAACCGACTTCAATATAAATTATTAACAATAACTCAAAAACTATTCGTCAGACCTTGATCAAATCAGCTTTCATATAAAAAAAATCATCGAAATCGGTTCACCTAGTAAAAAGTTATGAGGTAACACATAAAAAAAAAACATACAGTCGAATTGAGTATCGTCTCCTTTTTGAAGTCGGTAGAAAAATAGCTTACCCCTGTGACGTTGTAATCATACTGATCGAAGTAAGGTGGTAGGGGCAGTCTCATCCCCATCTCGTCTTCAGGCACAGTGGTGAGGTCTAGTTCACCGTCCTCACCGTTGCGACCGTTACCGTCTGGGTTGGTCAGATCGGTCCGGAAATAGCTCTCGTATGTACGGACAATCTGTTCCAGGCTCGGCACTTGCGGGCACAGATATCTGGAAAGTTTTGATAATTTACAAATTAAAAAGGGTTAGGGTTACAGTTACAGCTAAGTCCACTGCTGAACATAGGTTTACATTATAAATTGTCTCATAGGGGGAATAATAGCCATAGGGCAACTATTTGGCAAGCCGGTTGGCAGCCGCAGTTTTTTATTTTTAGTCGTTAATAGGAAGACGCTGCTGGCTATCTCCTGATTTGTTTGCCTCTGTCGCCTCTTACGACACTGTGGATATTCTTACACCTTAACACGAATGTGTCGGCTCGACCGGGGAAGGACCACGCTCTCAAAGAATACCAACGTAAAATAGCAGCTTCACGTTGCTGTGTTTCGTATGGTGAGTGTAGAGAACCGGAGACCCTTTTTACAAGAAACGAGGCATTCTATCTTAGTCTGAGATCTATAGACCGTACTTTGACTTTGCTCAGACTTTACTTACGAAAAACTTAGCTGAGTATATGCTCAGCATAATCATTGATATTGAATTTACAGTTGTATCATGCTAAGATTGAGGTAAGCTTATGCTAAGGTTCAGATAGTCAAAAAAAATTATGAATGCTTCATTCCTCTCATTATGTTCTTGAGTTTACTATATAAAATTTAAAAAAATATATATTTTAAAATAGCTTACAGTTCAAATTGCATTTCACAAATAAGTTATTATTACATTAAATAGAAAACGGGCGTATAAACGAGCTAATAAACAAATCCCTGGCATATTACATAAAGTATACTTATATACACTTAGTAACTGTTTATGAGCGGTGTTTTGTTATTACAATATATTTCTACTATTCGAAAAATTAATTTTTTCATCAAGAAACTCTAAGTAGCGGCCCGGAGTCAGGTAGTAGTCAGGCGATGTCTGACCCCCGTGCCTCGGAAAGCACGTAAAGCCGTTGGTCCTGCGCCTGATCTCTCTCCGGTCGTGTTGGTTTACCGTCCCATCGGACTATGAGAGTGAGGGAACAGAGAGTGCAGCTGTGCTTGCGCACACACTCGTGCACTATAATCATGTCCTGGGAAGATGGTTAGTAGCTGTTGAGGCTGATCGCCATGACCGAAATTCGGTCTGGAAGACATTATTATATTTAAAATTATTAGATTGACAACCCTAAATATTTTTTTTATTCTAAAGGTACAGGCAAAGTACTGAGCTAAATGCAAGTTACCTAGCGGTGGCGTGGAGTGCTCTGAGCCAGTCCAACTGTTCCAGTTCGGCGCGGGGGCGGAGCCCGGCGATGAGCTGCAGCGCAGCGAGCCGGGGCTTCGCCACCAGCTCGTGCGCCCCGCACTCCTGCCACAGGTGCAGCTGCTTCGCAACCAGCGACCGGAACGAAGGATCACCTGCAAAACAATCCTCATCCTCATCATCATCATCTACATTACAGCTCCTCACAAGTCCACTGTTGAACATAGGCCTCTCCCAAGGAATGCCATAAAGCACGGTCCTGAGCCACCTGTATCCATCGACTTCCTGCGTGTCTCAGTACATCGTCACTCCATCTAGTGGGGGGGGCCGCCTCACACTTTTTTATATAGAATAATAGTCATAAACGAGCACACAGTCCACCTGATGGTAAGTGTATGATGTGGCCCATAGACATCTACATCTGTCCTCGATTGGGAATTAAAATGCAGATGGTCAGCCGTGAGGACTAAGATGGAATGCCTCTTTTCCAGTAAAATAGGTCTCCGGTTCTCGACACTCACCATACGAACCACACCAGCATTAAGCTGGTATTCTGTGAGAACGTGGTCCTTCCCCGGTCGAGCCGACCTATTCGTGCTACAACTAATATAGCTGCAGCATGGCTCTACCACGTAAAACGAGTGTATCTGTGTGTGACATCATAGCTCCTGAACCGGACTGGATGAACCGATTTTGATTAACTTTTTTGTGTGTTTGAAAGATACCTTAATCGAAAGTTTTCTTAGCTATGTTTCATGAAAATCTGTTCAGCCGTTTGAATCAACTCGACATGGGAAAGGCCACGCTCTCACAGAGTACCGGCGTAAAATAGCAGTTTAATGCTGCTGTGTTTCGTGTGGTGAGTGTAGACAACCAAAGACTCTTTTTTTACTTGAAAATGGGGCATTACATCTTATTATTCCTCATGGATGACAACGCATCTGCATTTTGATTCTTAATCGAAGATAAATGTAGATACTCAGGCCACAGCATCCACTTACCATCAGTTGGGCTATGTGCTCGCTTGTCATCCCCATTTTATTAAAAAAAACTACATACAAAGCGTTTCTCAAGAATATGACTACACTTATTGAGACAGTAATTTGGAGGGGCGAGCCATGTTATCGTAGTTAATCTCTAATAGGCAACATATCCGTGTAAACTTTCACACAACGCACATTACACGCTGGGGCGAATTAAATGTTGACAGCGGTAAGCACCTTCTCGGCCACCCTTTGACTTATTATTTTACTTAACTACATATTTTGCAAGTAATGCAAATATTAATAATATAGTTCGTAAAAATCGCGGCACGTAAGTCTAGCGCTGAACGAAATCTGGAGGGGATGCGCACGAATTGAACTGCACGAATACGACTGGAGAGCCAATCAGCGCGTGCGAACTATATGCACGAGCCAATCAGCGCGACTTATGCGCTATAACGGTCACCGCTAGACTTTCGTGCCGCTACAAATAATTAGGCACACAATAATTAAGCAAGCCATGTAGAACGAAATATATGATGAGTAAGGGCGATTTAGGAGTAATCAAATTTGGGCGCGCTTCGCAAGCTCTATATCTCTATGGAAAAAAATAATTTTATTTTATGTTAATAAGTATTATATTATTGTTGTTTAAAAACTTCCACGAGCACCCCTTTGTAAACTCGCGCCCCTAGTTTGCCTTAAGTATAATCCGCCACTGATTACACGCACATATACTACACACATATTACACACACACATTACACATTCACTACATACACACACTCCACCACACTAATTTCTTTTTAAATTATGTTGCTTACGCTCATCGTTAACTTGAGGTATAAACGATTCTTGCTTTAGTAAATTTTATGATGAGGCAGAGAGGCTCACTTCTAATACGGACGCATTTCGCGTTCAAAAGAAGTTTACCACTGTATATTTTATGTACTTGTAACACCGTGTTTATTATGACCTAGCTGTTCCCCGCGACTTCATCCACGTCGAAATTTTTACGATTGGCTTTTACGGGTTTTAATTGTTTGCGCGGAACCCTAATTATCTTTCCAAAGTAAAAGTAGCCTAAGTTACTCCTTATAATATCACCTATCTGCTAGTAAGAATCCCGTCAAAATCAGTCCAGCCATTTCATAGATTAGCTGGAACAGACAGGTAGACAGACAGACAAAAAATTGTTTTTAGTTATAACTACCGTATATACTTTCATATGCGTTTGGTAATAAGATGTTATTTTGACATTACAAACAGACACTTCCATTGTATTTATTTGTACAGATATATCCAATATCGAACACTCACCGGCTGCTTGGGCCAACAGTGTGGCCATGTGTAGATCTCCGTTCTCCCGGGCCACTTTGCAGGCTTCCAACACGCGTCCCCCGACCAACAGAGTCCACACTCTGCCGCTGTGGCCATCGGACTCTGTCAACAAAGTTCACTATGAATTATTTGAATTTTAAGTCTTTAAAATGAACAACATATATTATATGTCACATTTGCTGTTCCCGCAACTTTGTGGTAATTACTAAGATTGAATTTTAATGGGTTTTAATTTTTTTTTGTGGAACCCTATTTTTTTTTACTGCTTCACTCTTTATTACTTCAGGTATATCTGTCAGTGAAAGTCCCGTCAAAATCATTAATTTCAGAGATTAGACGGAACAAACAGACAGGCTGACAGACAGACAAAAATTGTATTTTTTTGTTATAACTACCGTATACACTTTCATATGCATTTAGTAAAAAGCTGTTATTTTGACATTACAAACAGACACTTCAATTTTATTTATTTGTATAGATTATATTAAATACTGTCATTTTATAAAACCACATTCAGGAACAATTGAGTTACTGAATGGAGTCATGGACTACACAATGAATGACTATAGTAGTTATCTTGATTGTAGACGATTTCGAAAAATTCAATAATTAAAAAAGGCTAATAAATAATTTAAGAAATACGCCAGAACAGACAAACAAACAGATAGACGAACAAGAAAATAAGTTTATATTGCATTGTCATCGAGCTGCGAGCTACATTTAATGTTTCAAGTCTGCAATTCATCGGCAAGTTAGTTTAAAATCAATTTCTAAATCTGTTCCAAACAGACAAAAATGTTAATAGAAACGTAATTTAAAAAAAACCAAACAGTAGAATTAAGATTTCTCCATTCTGAAGTAAACCAAAAGTAATTTTATTATTTTTATCGCGTTTAATTTTAACATATTTTTATGCCTCGACTAGCAGAGAGACTGTAACTTCGTTTAAAAAAATATTGACAAGAGATGGTACAGTTCACCTGATAGTAAGGTCTTTCCAAACATTAATATTTGGACACGCTCGCGGACCGTATAAAAAGGCTGATCTAAAAATTGGATCGGGCCGCAAGCAAATGCGTAGAGGGCTGCATATTTTTTTAAATACTCTTATTTGTGTCAAACAGCTCCTCATTTTTTCTATACACACCCAAGAAACGAATTATATCGTAATTTCCCCATTTTAGAGAATCGTTTATCGGTTAACTCATTTGATTGACCTACACACACGTATCATGCAGCAACGAAACGACCTATGCACAGGCGTGTAGTCTGGAGCGAAATGGCTACTCGCAGCGAGTATTCGCTATGTGTGACCGAGGCTTTTGACATGTATAACCAACAAATAATTTTGCCAAATATGACTGTTTGACTCTTGTATTGTTCCCTACTACGTTCATTAACTCCTTCACTCGTTCAATCTGTCAATCATGAATGATTCGTTCGTTTGAACCGGGTCTGATGTGACCCGGTTCAAACGAACGTAACGAAGTATCGATGATGGCAATTACATTTTTTCAACGTATTAACCGATTGACATGACCTACGCCAAAGAATATATAATGTTCGACGACCAACATTACCGAGCGGGTCTCACAGATCGCAGAGTACTGAAACTTGAAATGATCCATTTGAATGATCAACCCGCATGACCCGGTTCGTAAGACGAATCAATACTTGAACGATCGGATCACTAGGATTGAATGAATAACACATGTCAAATCTGATCGATCGTCATTTATAGTTAAAGGTATAGCCGAACCCCTCCACTAGGTCGCGCGCTATACGTGCCCAAGACAAGTATATGAAACTTCCGATATAAACATGTATACATGCATACTAGATGGATATAGTATATCTTTCTTTATATTTAAAAATAACTTTCGTTATATTTAAAAATTATTTATCACATTGTTTGTCCGCGATTACTCTTAAGTTACTGAACTGATTTTATTTGAATTTTGTAATTAAAAATATTGTAATAAATTATAATATTAATACATTACTTTATTTTACTTTTTATAAGGCAGTGCCAGACCACAATCCCACCTGGTGGTAAGTGGTTGCGATGCAGCCTTAGATGGTAAATCGCACTGTCTTAGCGTAACAAAAGCCTATTCACTCTTGCCTTGAAGACGCCCAGATTGTATTCGGACGGAAAGATAGACGCCGGCAACTTATTCCACTCCTTTGCTGTACGCAATACAAAAGACGAAGCAAACCGTTTGGTTCTAATGCGTGGAATATCGACAACAAAGGGATGAAGACCCGCCGACTCCCTGGTTGTCGGACGGTGGAAAGGAGAGGAAGGAATTAAGGCGTGTAATTAACTGCTGACTGCAGTTTCAGAGATAGGATAGTTTTTATCCCGATAAGTGACCCTCAATATTTTTTATTGCGAATTTAAGGATTTTTATAGGACAAAAGGTCGTCGGAAAGGGCAGAGCAACTTATACCTGGCCAGCTAGTGTAAATATAATTTATTAACATACACCGCAACTCTGCATGACGAATGCGTTTAATATTAATGTGAAACAATGAATGAATAGAACGAATGACAACGCTCACCGTCAATAGATTCGGCAGTTGCAGGTAGCTTGAGGTCATGCTGGGTTGCGTCAGCCACGGCGTCCTGCAGCCATCCCAGCAGCTTTCGGTATCTGTGCACGATTGACTGCAAGTCCTGTCCAGGAATACCTGGACAAACACAAAAGAATATAAAATAAATTAATAAAATCACCCTAGAGTCCTGGGGTAAAATGATCAATTTCAAGATAGGTGGCAGCGTCTTTTTAATAACATATCTAACAGACAGAACTCGAAATTCATTATTTATCATCCCGATGGTTGACGGTCCACTGTTGTGCGATTTACGCATTGATGATTCTTGATGATTTACGCACAACAGTGGACCGCCAACTGTGGAATTTACTGTCGCCAGCGGCTTTCCAGACCGATACGACTTAAAGGCTTATTACATTACACGATTTCTCGGGCCCTGCCCGCAGGGACAGGGTAGTGTAATAAGAAACAGGGAGTCAGGGTCCCTAAACAGGGCGACCGAGTGGTTCCGACCGCCCTGCTTCCCTGCCGCGCTGTGGATCGTGTAGTGTAATAAGAGACAGGGAGGCAGGGAGCTCAGTTGCGTGGCCGCATGCGCAGAGTCTACACGTCTGTTTATTTAAAGTTCTACTATGTCGATCTACTCTCTAAATCATTACTCGTATTTATGTCATGCGCTAAAGAAAAAGATCCTTCTCAATGTCATCGACATCCACAAAGTGCCTTATCAAATCTTGATAGGAGTTTCCAGTGACCAAAATCGTAAAGTGACAACCAATCTCTCTTAAAAAAGTATTCTTTTGAATAAAACTTCTTTTATGGACTCTATCGCGTTTAATATTTTTTTTTAATTAATTCCCGACGTTTCGGGTGCTTTACCACCCATGGTCACGGGGGACTGGTTGCTGTAAAGCATCCGAAACGTCGGGAATTAATAAAAAAAAATTAAACGCGATAGAATCCATACAAGTAGTTTTATTCAATGTGTAGTGTTCGCGTAAATATAAGAAATCATTAAAGTATTTTTTTTTCTATTAAAGGCGTTACTAAGCTTAATAACTCGTCGAACAGTTCGGTCTGAGCGCCCGTTCGCAACAGACGTGTCGTTTGAATAGGCGTGCGCTCATACTTACGAATATTAGTCTAACTGTCGGTTACTAACGTGAATGCGTGGTTTGCCATGCTTTAATTGTGGAGCATTCATTGGTGTACTTTGTTCACCATGGAAGAAAATCAAGTTTTAGACGGAGAGGCGATAAATTCTGTTTTAAATCAAAACAATGAAGTGGAAACGGAGATTTGTTTACAAGAAAACTGTGAATCAATGATTGACGATGAGGTTATTACACCTATTTGTAGTAAGAGACGCAGAGAAGAGGATGAGGAAGAAAGGTGGATTACGGTTTCAAGAAATGGGAAGAGAGTGGGACAGAAAGTTGATTTATATATTAATTGCTACGAAAAATTACCTAAACAATTTGCGCTTGCAAAACTTTTAAAATCCAATAATATCAAGAATATTAGCCGTGTGAAATACGTGAACGCGAACAAAGTATTTGTGCAGTTTGAATGTGCAGAAAGTGCCGATGAGCTGATGAACTGTACACCTTTGAAGGAATTAGGATGGCGATTTCAAAAGCCATTAGAGGTTGCTTCCTCATACGGTGTCATTAAGGATATTGAGCTGGAGATGACCGAAAAAGAAATGCTGGAGGTAATTTCAAGTGATTGCAAGATATTAGGTGTAAAACGCTTGAAGCGCAGAATGATGGATGGAAAGGGATGGGAAGATAGCGAATCAGTACGACTGGAATTTAAGGGCTCATCGTTGCCAGCATCAGTATACATTTACGACATGAAGATTAACGTCGAGCCCTATGTCTTCCCAGTCACTCAATGTTCGAGGTGTTGGAGGTTCGGCCATAGTTTACGTGTTTGCCCCTCTAAAAAGATTGTATGCCCTAAGTGTGGAAAGGGGCATGCTAATTGTGAGACCACAACTTTTAGATGTGTTAACTGTATCGGGAGTCACATATCATTGGATAGATCATGTCCTATATTTATAAAAGAAAAGCGTCTAAGGAGTATAATGGCTGAATTCAATTGCTCTTATAAAAAGGCCTTACAAGTATATGTTCCTCCAGACCCTCAACCTGAAGGAGTAGAACAAGAGCCAACTATATTACAGACAGCTCAAAGACATCTCAACCTAAACATACCTTTATATAATAACCTGCCCGAGCCCATACCTATGTCCTCTATACCACAAAACGACGATGGGGTAGTGACTTACGCAAGCGTAACTCGATCTGCACCGCACCTACAATTTGATAATGCTCCTAACAGTAATTCATTACCATTCGCATTACAATCGTGTGCTAAGGAGGTTCCGCAAGCTTTAAAAAGAAAGACTATAGGGACGAAGAGAAAAAGAAAGAAGAAGCAAAATCAGAATGAATTGATTGAAAGCGATATATCGTCAGAATCGGAAGAAATAGTTAACAATAATGATGATGATATTGAAATTGAGCTCCAATCAAGAAGAGAGAAAAAAGAGAGAAGAGAGAAGCTTAGATCTACTCTAAATTTTAAGCAGTTACTTTCTAAGTTGTATTCTATATTTACAAATCCACAAGAAGAACTTAAGAAGAAAATAATTCAAGGAATGTCATTAGTTATTGAATGGTTAGTACCGATGGTGGGGCAGTGCATTTGGGATTTGCCTTTTAAAAGTTTCTTCGGACAATAATGGGTAGTAATTACAAAATAAACATTTTTCAGTGGAACTCACAAAGTATAGGGCCCAAACGCGCGGAGTTTGACCAGCTGTTAAGTAGTGAGAAAATTCATATTGCTGCCATTTCTGAGACATGGCTGAATGCTGAAATTACGTTTAGAATCAGTGGCTACAATATTTACCGCAGGGACCGAAATGATTCGTATGGTGGGGTTGCTATTTGTTCACACAAATCTTTAAAGACTCAACTAATACCTGTCCAAATTTCTAATCCCGGAATTGAAATAATTTGTATTAAAATTTTTAACTGTACACACATAGATTACATACTTTCTATATATTGCCCACCTACCATACGAACTTCTCAGAATGACTGGGATGAAATATTTTCTTTTAAAACTAACAAAACATTGATTCTTGGGGACTTCAATGGACATCATCCAAGCTGGTCTAGTAAGGTTGATTTAAGAGGCACCAACATTTTTGATTCTTTAATTGAAAATAATTTCGTTTCCTTGAATGATGGCACAGCTACTCGCCTTAAATATGTAAACGGAATAATACAGGAGTCGTCCCCTGACATATCTATCGCATCTTCGGATCTAGCACTGCAGTTAGATTGGAAGGCTACTAATGAGTCATTAGGCAGTGATCATTTGATTATTAAGATTAATTTGTCATATTACAATAGTAAGCGTCAATTTCTAAAGAAAAGGAACTATAAAAAAGCAAACTGGGATGGATATAGCTCATACTTAGAAGATAAAATTTCAAGGTTTGTTTTTATAGATGAAGATCCGCAGAAAAGCTACAACTTAATTTTAAGTATGATCAATGAAGCCGCTGATGCTCATATTCCTTTTTACAGAACCAACCAAGATCCCTCACAACATTTTTCTCCTAAAGCGTATTGGAATACCGACTTATCTAAATCTGTTGCAGAAAGGCGCCTAGCTCTTACTCTATTTAGAAAAAACCCTACTCCTGATAATTTAGATAAATTAAAAGACAAAATTAGAATCACACAATTACTAATTAGAAAGGCAACTAAGAAATCGTTTTCTACTTTTTGTTCTTCGATGGATGAGTCTACAACAGTAAACGGGATGTGGCAGAAAATGAAGTGGTTGAAAGGTTATAGGTGTTCTAATGTAAATAGGAGTTATGTTGATCTAACTATGGCAAATGAGCTTTTACACAGTTTGACTCTAGACTCAGTTTGTCCGAAGGACCCTTTTTTTTTATCTCGTAACATTAAAATTGACTCTCCTTTTTCAATGAGCGAGCTAACGTGTTGTGTTAAAACAAAAGATACTTCTCCAGGTGTGGATAATATATCCTATTCAATGATAAAACACCTTCCCAAAGACGCATTAATTATTTTACTCGAACTATTTAATTTGTTTTACTCTCTGAGCTTTGTACCATTTCAATGGCGAGAAATACGCATTATACCAATTCCAAAAGTAGGGCGTGAGGCGTCATCTTTATCATCGCTCCGACCTATTTCGCTGATGTCTTGCCTGAGTAAAATCTTCCATGCTATGTTGAGAAATAGACTGGAATGGTTGATGGAAAATGAAAACCTATTTTATGAAGAGACCACCGGATTTAGGAAATCAAAATCATGTTTGGACAATCTCAGTAATTTAGTTACTAGAATACAATTGGGGTTTTCAAAAGATCAAATTACAGTAGGTTGCTTTATTGATATAGAGAACGCGTACAATAACATAGATATTACGGCTTTACTAATGAATTTGGATCGATTAGGTGCTGGATCAAAAGTTTGTAAATATTTGTGGACTTTCTTAAGGGAAAGATACTTAAGTGTTCAGGTGGACAATGTAATTTTATCCAGGTCTACAGGCCGAGGAATCGCCCAGGGTGATCCCCATATAGCTCCACTACTATTTAATATTTCAACTATTCATATTTGTAATCAAATTAATTCTAATGTAAATATCTCTCAGTATGCTGATGATTATGTGTTATATACTTCGGGTAAAAATTTAAATGACGCTTCCACTGAATTGCAATTGGCCTTAAATAAAATGTATAATTTGCTCATAGATTTAGGTTTGGAGATTTCAATGGCTAAAACAAAGATCTGTATTTTTAAAAAAGGTATTTGTAGGCAAGCTATTTCAGTAAACATAAATAATAATAAAATAGAAGTAGTAAACACAGTCAAGTATTTAGGGATGTGGCTGGACCGGTCTTTAAAGTGGAATAAGCATATTACGGAATTAACAAATAAGATATCTAGATTTTTAAACATATTTAAAGTTTTAGTAGGACCTGGTTGGGGAGTACATCCCAAGCATTTAAGAAGATTGTATATTGCCGTTATAAGGACTAGACTAGATTATGGGAGTTATTTATTTGATAACAGCTG